CAAATCCAAATTGGTAATCTAACATGAAGAATATCTTTTCATAACAAATCCAAATTTCAAATCTAACATGAATTTTGGAATTTTACAAATTTGGAATCCACCTAAGCCCAGAAAAGTGTTTTCTTATTCAAAACCAAAATCTTTCAAAAATTAAAATTTTTAGAATTTCCCATGAACCATATTCTCTCATAGCATTCATGGATGACCAGTCGAATGGGATACCACATTATCAATTGACAATTCTGAATTCTTTCTTTTTCTCCATTTTTGACTGAAAAAAAGGAAAAATGGAGAAATATATGAAAAATTGTTAAGATTGATAAAATTTGTTTAAATTTTCACTCTTTGTTGGACTTGTTTCGCAAATGATTTCAGATTTGTTAGCGAACATTATTAAGCAAGTGAAATTGGATTCATTCAACCAAAAAGAATCACTTTCATTATGTTTTGATATTTCTGGATTAGGCATCAATTCTCATAAGTAAAATGTTGTCTTTGTTGAAAAAATCAAATATTCATCATTAATCATACGCAAAAAATCAAAATTTTATTAATCAACCGAAAAAGAGGTAATTTTTCATAATAAATTTTATCCTGCCATGTTTACGTAGTAGCTGCATAATTCAACAATACCGTATCTAATTGTAACCAATCAATGAAGAGGATGAAAAATAATCAAAACGATCAAGAGAATTCCGTAGAAAACTAGGAAAATTTTTTTATTTGATAATTAATATCATCATTATTTTGACAAACTGCTTTTTATTGAATAATTCAAATTAAAACTATTTTATTTAATTTAGTACAATTTGGATTGAAATAAATGTTTTGGTCATTTTCCAAAATTAAACGAATTNAAAAAGAGGTAATTTTTCATAATAAATTTTATCCTGCCATGTTTACGTAGTAGCTGCATAATTCAACAATACCGTATCTAATTGTAACCAATCAATGAAGAGGATGAAAAATAATCAAAACGATCAAGAGAATTCCGTAGAAAACTAGGAAAATTTTTTTATTTGATAATTAATATCATCATTATTTTGACAAACTGCTTTTTATTGAATAATTCAAATTAAAACTATTTTATTTAATTCAGTACAATTTGGATTGAAATAAATGTTTTGGTCATTTTCCAAAATTAAACGAATTAAATACAATTTGCAAAGTTTGATTCCAGACGGTTGCTTTCTCCAGAAATCATACTTTGTTCATATTCATGATTCAGAATATCGATTTTAACCTGGGTTAACGATAATTTAAAAAATAATTTTTTGATTTTTGCGTATGATTAATGATGAATATTTGATTTTTTCAACAAAGACAACATCTTACTTATGAGAATTGATGCCTAATCAAAAAATTTTATAAAAATTACAAGTTCAAAACATAATAATCGCCAATCGAAAGTGATTCTTTTTGGTTGAACAAACCCAAATTCACTTACCTGACAATGATCATCAATCCAAATTCACTTACCTGACAATGATCATCAATCCAAATTCACTTACCTGACAGGAACGGACAACCGTCGTCAACTGAGGTGCAATTCTAATATCAATTATGGTTTCTTACATTCGAAACATTATTATTCGTTATTTATAACTTTATTTATATTATTAATCACTAGTTATTTGCATTCAAATCCATTTAAAAAATATTTTTTTAAATATTCTGAATACGCGCCAAAAATTTTCAAAATATCGCATGAATGTGTCCATTTCGACAGAATTTGTAGTAAATTTTTAACAACAGACTACTTTCAAACAAAAATGCTGTCGCATTTGACGTCTATTTCGACAAAATTCGTATTAAATATGTTAAAAAAGACCAAATTATTTCGCTTTGTGTACAAAACAATAACAATTTTTAAAAATATAAAAATTTTTTGAAAAATTTTTTGAGAGCCACAAATAATCCATCGAAGAGCCGCATGCGGCCCGCGGGCCGCAGTTTGGCCACCCCTGATCTATAGACTTGATTTTGTATATGATAATTGATGATGATGAATAAATTTATTTTTTTAAAAAGTCAAAGAATGAGCTTGCAAATTTACAAACTAACTAAATATACTTGACTTTGTGTTTCAAATCTTCAATAATAATGTGTTTTATTTGATGGATTTAATCTGTTGTCATTATTATATTAATTGTTTTTTATCCCAGTTATTGTTTTTAGAAGGGGATTTTTTTTAAATTTGATTTCAATACATCAAAAAAAAAAGAAAGATACTGATGATAGAGATTAATTAAATTGTTTACAATTGTCGTCGATGTTGCTGTTGTTGTTACTGTTAGCACTCGAGAATCATATTAAACAATTATAAAAATCAATTTTAATCAATCACTATGAATATGATTATTAATTATGATTTTTTTTTGTGACTATAAATGTTGATTATCAACGAGCAAAATAACAGACAGAGAAATGAAACACTTGATTTTTTGTTTTATTTACTCTAAATATGTGCGTGTCGTTGTTGTATTGATTTTATTTACCAATTTTCTGATCTGATGAAATAAAAATTTCACAAAAAAATAAACAATTTTTGTTGATTCCAATTCATTGATGATGAAATAGTAAAACGGACGGACTATTTCAACACAATTCTAGCAAATGGAATAATTCCGTTATTATTGTTGTTTCGAAACATTTTTGGGCCGTCATTGAAAAAAAAATGGAAAAAACCAAGTCAATGCCAAACGAGTAATACACGCAAAGAGGAGAAAAATTCAAGAATAGCAAAAGAATCATCAAATGGAGAATTGGAGAAATGAAACCAAAATTCTACATTCATACTCCCACACACACAGACACAAACACACAAGGGAAATGTCTTTCAATAGGAATTTTCCACATTCACAAATACTACTTCTTGTTTCAAAAAATATATTCTATATTCGGTCATCTATCTATGTATTCTATATTGGATACAGTTTTTTTTCATCATTAATAGAAAAGGGATATATTATATATTTTTTGTACTTTGTCTTGATTCATTTATATTTATTATGAAAAAAATTCTTGAGAAAATCATATAATAATTATATAGAATAGATCTACGAACAACGAAAAAAAGATAGCCCATCATTCCCATGTCAACAATAATAAACAACGATGAGCATCTCATGATGTTTTGATCTATTCATGCTTTTGTAAATGTAATAATTCTATATGTGTGATGAATTGGGTATCAAATCAAATCTTTATTTCTCATATTATTCAAATGATCTATCATGAATATTGATAAATCATTGAATGTTAGAAATTTTTTTGAAAAAAAACATACCTGATTATTATTGAGGAAATGTACGGAAAACAACCGAAAACGAAAACACGAGAAAATGAAAAAAAAACAAATGAATTTTTTTTGTTTGAAAGAAAACACAGTCAAAATTTTTCAGATTCCATGATAATTAATAATCAAAATTCAGTTCCTAATTAATAATTTTCATTTTGTTTTTGTCGTTGTCAATTTTCATTATTATTTTCTCATGTATATTTACAAACACAAGATTGCACTATTGGCTTTGTTTAGATTTTTTATGCGCATTCACTTGTAATAAAGTCACAATATCGATGAGTAAAGGTAGATATATAACACATACAAAATACGAAAAAAATGATTTTCGCAACTAAAGAAAATATACCACCAAACCAGATAAACAAATAACAATGTTTATCATTCGGAATATTCCTGGCGTAAGAAAGAATTTAATGTTTTTTTTATTTTGTTTTTTTTCGTTAAATATTGTTTTAGGATGAAGGGTAAGCAAAACAACAACAAAAAATGCCACTACTTTTTGCATCGTTATGGCGAAAGAAAGAAAAAATAAATTTATATACATCAATTTTTTTTTCGAAAATACTTTCATTGTACAAATGAACACTGTTTTGGTTAATTTTATTCTAATCCTTTTAAATTTTTTTTCTTCTGAATAATTTGATTTTTCAAACAATAAAAAACGTAGAATTTATATCCAACAATTGTAGTGTTTTACAATAAATGAAAACCGATACCGAAAAAAACAATCATCATCATCATCATCATCATGTATATCACGGAATAGTCATTTAAAAGAAGCCAAGTCAAATGATTATGTTTCATATTTTTTTTTCATTTTTATTATTTCCTTTATTACTTTTGATGAAACGTGTTCTCAAATGATAAACCTATAGATAGTATATTATTTCATGGTAGAATGATAATGAACAAAAAAAAAGTTCCATTTCAACTTTTCTCCACCCTTCTTGAATCCGATTGATGATTCTATTCAGGATGATATTTTTTTTACATAGCAAAAGAATATATTATTTCGGAAAAAAAAGTGTATCGTTGTCCAAATTTTTTTTCAAAGGAATTCAATATCAATAAATTTTTAAAAAAATGTAACCTGATCATCAATAGAATTTATTATTGTATATTGATTATAAATCAATATAATTTTTCATCATTTCAACATATGAATTGACCGGAAAATTGGTTATGATTACGATGAATCAATTCGAGAAAACTATTTTTATCAAGAAAATTCTTGTATCTGAAACCTTCAAAAATAATATTCATCAATGACTTGTGACGACATATATCCATTCTATTATATTTTGACGCAATCGAATCAAAAATGTCAAACAGAATTCATGCGTATGAGGGGTTTTTTCTTGTTTCTCGGTGTGTGGTCAATTATAGCCGTCATTTTTTAATTTTTTCAAGAAATTCTTTCGGAAAAAAACCGATTCGGTTCGGTTCGATTGTTTCCGGAACTGTTTTTTACTGTGAATCGGGTTTCGTAATAATATTGTTAGAAATAAATGAAAGATGAATGAATGATGATGATAACTTCATAAAAATACGATGGTTCATCCATTAACGAATTGCTTAATATCAATTTTAAAGTATAACCAAACAGTACGGATATTTCTTAGATGAAATGGCAATGAAACATAAAATTCTACCTATATATAGATAAGTGAAGCCCTTGAAATTGACTTCCGACAAATATTACATTTATATAGATTCTTTACATAAAACTCTTTTCTTTTTTTTACAAGCATCTTTTGTTTATATATAACGGGGGAATTTCTTTTTCATCTTTTTTTTTGATTTAGAAAAAAAGACGGCAACAATTTTTTGGGACATACAATCATGTTACATGATTAAAATTTCCAGTAAAAGATGGTCGTCAGCAAAAAATAAGAAAAGAAAAAACAATTGCATTACAAGCTTGTCATTGGATTGTCTAACAAATTACATCATGCATTCATGAAGAGAGTTTAGTTTGAAGATTTTCCTTTTCGAAAATTTTGCACTTGCGTATTCAAAAATATTAATCATTGTTTTTATAAACATGGTGCGTTGCTCAATGCCATATGGATATTGGAGATTGTTATAATCATGCTTTAATTATCTTTATAAAAGTGTTTATAATTTTTTCGTACATGAAAATTGATTGAATGAAATCTAGTAAACAAGATCAATTATAACATTGAAATCAATCGAAAATCAATAGTCGATCCTATTTTTTTAATAGAGCAAAAAAATCATCGTCATCGTAGTGAAAAGAACTTTAATTTTTTTTCAATAAAAAAATGTCTATTGAACAAAATATCGACAATCTTCGGCCACCGGCTATTGTTAAAAATCCCGAAGAACGTATGAAATTTTTGGTAGAAAAATCTAAAAATGTTGTTGTTGAACATTCATTTCCAATTCGTTTATATTTTTCATCTGGTCGTCAATTATTACAAATGGCCAATACTTATCTGGATGAAAAGAATATGGAACAGGCATTCGTTTTATACATGCGATATATAACGTATTTATCTAAGAATTTAAATAAAAAATGAAATCAATATTTTTTTTTAATTTAGACTTTTTGTTGAAAAATTACCCTTGCATCCGCAATATCATGAAATTGATGAAACTGATAAACGATCGGTTCGAGCCAAACTTAAACCATTATTCGGTCTTGCCGAAGAGATAAAAATTCGAATAAGAAATAAATATAAAGAAGAATATGAAAATTATCTTACTCAAAAGGTAAATCTTTATTATATTGGTCTGATCATCGAAAAGTGATGATAATTTTTTATTTACTATAGAAAATTTATGATGAAAAATTAGCTGAAGCTCAAAAAGCATTGATCGAACAGCGACAAAAAGCTCAACAAAATCTCGAGGATAAAAAAATGCAAGAATATGTGAATAATTTACAATCACAAATTGATAAGAAAAAACGTGAACTTGTCGATAAAAAAGATGAACATTTGAAAGAAGAAACAGTCGATGTGAATGAGATGAGCAGTGATGAAGAATCTTTATCTACTTCAATAGATCAGCCAACAAAAACTGAAATCCATAAAAGACCAGTGATCGATCGTTCAACGAAACCATCGATGTCCTTGTTAGATGATGTTGATCGTGATACATTACGTTCGATGATTGTACCATTCCAAGACCTTACCAAAAAATTTGTCAAAATTGCTCAACCAAATACAGGTTCGTTAAATTGTTTGCATATTTCTATTGACCATTCGATTTGATAATTATTTTCGATTTAGATCGCAATGTAGAAACATGTGGAATATTATGTGGTCAATTAAAACGTGATAGTTTTACTATAACACATATTTTGATACCGAAACAATCCGGAACATCAGATTCGTGTACATCCATCAATGAAGAGGAATTATTAATTGAACAAGAAAAACATAATCTAATTACAATGGGTTGGATACACACACATCCAACACAACGTAGTTTTTTGTCATCAATCGATCTGCATACACATGCATTGTATCAGAAAATGTTGCCGGAAGCAATCGCTATTGTAGTTGCACCGACCACCTCAGAGATTCAAATGTATTCACTCACCGACCATGGGCTAGAATTTATATTGAAATGTCGTGAAAAAGGATTCCATCCACATGCAAATGAACAAAATCTTTATCATTCATCTGATCATACAATTATCGATGATAAATTGAATGTTGATGTTGTTGATTTGCGCTGAGAGTTCTTCCTCTTTCAAATTTCTATTTAGTATTATCAATTTTGTCGTTATTATAAAATAAAATTTTATTCAAAACTTTTTCATGAAATAGGTATGGTAATAAATTTGTTATGGCAAATATTTTCAACTATTGTTTTTAATTTATTCTTTTTTTGATCTTTCCAAAATGTCTAAGCATAGACAAATCCTAAACCGTCAATATATCAATGTTCGTTTATTATCATGAAATTATTGATTGTGATATTAAAATGGTTCAAAACTAAGAACATAGCTAAATAGTGAATTTTTTTCAATTCAAAAAAGCTGAAATGAAACGTCAAAATGTTCATACCATAACATGATGGTGCCATAAAACTAAATATATTGTGTGATTTGATAGAAATTTAAAATATGAGAAATTTGAAATGCTGAATGAATGAAAAATTGTAGGTGTAATGATAAAGAAAAAAGAAATGACGTGTTGAGAAAAAAAAATTAGCCGATGATTAATTAATGAATGTTCATTATTCTTTCGATGTATCGATGATGAATGTAGTGTTACCATCCGGTGTTGTAATTGTACCATTTTCATCAACCGAAATAGCCAGATTAAGCCTTTGTAGGGTTTCAGCATCTAATATTAATGACCCATCTTCATTGATACATTCCGGTGGCAAGACAATGGCCTGAGACCCATTCGGATCATCCGAATCAATAATTTGATGTGTAACCTGATGATCATCACCATCTTGCTGGATTAGAACGGTCGTTGTTGCTTCAGTTTCAGAATTTGCAGCCACAACCACTTCAGCGCCGTGATTATCATTTGATGTTGGTGGTTGTTGGTTTTCTTCAACCACATGCTGAACTGATGCAGTAGTTTCATCATTCACCTGTTCAATTACTTCAATAGCAGCGGCTGTCTCGTCTTGTTCATTTGTTGGTAAGATTTTATGCTCCTGTTTCATATTGTTAGCCGATTCTTGTTGTTCTTGTTGTGCAACATCTACAATGTTTGCAAATGCTGATTGTTGTGATTGTTCGTCAATAACTTCCATTTGTACATCTTCTACAGCCGGTGTAAAATTCAATGAATTGATAACATCCTGTACTTCCATGCCTTTTGGTGCAGTAATTTCCATCAATTCGCCTGTCGATTGATTCAATATCATGATCAATTGTGTATCTTCATCAACAGGTTGTTGACCGTGGAATGCAGGTAAATCGATCATTTGCTGTTCAATAGGTTGTTGTGGTTTTTTCGGTGATGCACGTCTTCGTGCAGGCATTTTATTAGGGGTAGTGATCGCTTTGGCCTGTGCCGTAGCTTTTGAAGCCAATTCCAATAGTTTATTTTGATCACCATTGTTTGGATATTTTGGTGCGCATTTATGCAGGCTCAAATCTTTGGTCGAGCGAAACAGATTGTTACAATGACCACATTTGATTACACTGTTCGATAACATTGGTTGTGCAGTAGATTTAGAACGCTGTAAAACACTTGGACTGGGACGAGCTTGATTCTGATATTGAATCGTTGCTCGACCCATTTGATTTGAGCGTGAAACAACATGTGGATTCCTAGGCATCGGTTGATGCGAACGAAGATGCGAAGTTAGCATAGCGAAATTCCAGAATGCTAAAACACAAAGATTATGTAAATTATTCAAAAAATGCACAAATAACCTGCTGAACTCACCTTGTCCACAGACGGTACATTTATGTTCACTTTTATGTCCACGATAATGCGTAACCAACATTGAACGTGTGGCGATCATGCGATTACAATCCGACCAATTACATTCGATTGGATCTTGATGTACTTCCATATGAGCGTTCAATCGTTCGCGATTATAGAATTTTTTAACACATTTTTTGCATTCAAATGTATAACCATGTATAACAAAATGAGCCATTATATCATTCTGACATTCACCACAATCCTCACAAAGAAGAAGTTTTTCGGCATGAGAATTCTGTATGTGCGCTCGTCGCGAACCTAAAAACGCATAGATGAAAACAAAATTAAACAATCATAACCAAATTAAATTAAATCATAACTTACTTGGTGTTGCGGTAGTTATGCCACAATAAGTGCATACATATTGATGAGATTCTGTTTCCAGATGATGAACATAAGATTCTTTCATCCCGAAAAACGTGTGACATGCTTTGCATTTGAAATTTCGAGGCTCAGTACGATGGAAATGTCCAGAAGCAGTGAATTTGTTAATATGTTGATCGGTAATCAAATGTGAAGTTAGTTCTTCATCGCTAGCAAAATAAATGTCACAATATGCACAGACGAACACCTCGTCAGGATGAGAAATGATCGTCTTCTGATTGTGACCAGTTTCATTTATATGTTGCTATGAATAATATGAAATTTCAATGATTAATACCATTAGACTAATCAATTTGATAGCTAAAATACATACCATAAAATCTTCAAAATCTTTAAAATTCATTTTACAAGAAGTTATGACGCATTGATACATTTTTTCCATTTTATGGTGATTGACCATATGCAAATAATATAGTTGATAAACTTTAACCATCTGGTCGCAAATTCGGCACCAATGGCCAACATAGGTTTTTATCTGAGCTCGTTTTAAATCATCGTCATTTATGACATCATTGATGGTTAATAAACCATTCGAGCTTGTATCACCAAAATTGTTCTTATTTAATTCAGTTGCTGTTTCGATCGGCACCCATTGTTTGTGTTCATGATGAAGATGAAGATCATACGCCTCTTGACTTTCCAATCGTGCATTACAAAAATAACAAAGACATTCCTCTTCAGAGAGTGATGAACAGTCCAAATTAGGAACAAAACGAAGATCCGATTTCTCTGGCTTAAGACCAGCAACCGCACAATTTTGTGCATGTGTAAGCAATTCTTTACCTTTACCACAACTTTGTCGACAAGCGACACAAGAATAATCGGCTGGTCCCGTTTGTACCATATGTGATTGTTGAATATGTTTTTGCAAACGTTCAACACCGATCAATAAGCCATGACAATAGTAACATTGATAATTCTGTCCAGAGCTATGCAACATGTGTTTCGCTTTAAAATGTGTTCGAAGACGATTCTCATCTTTTGTGACCAATACACATGATTTGCAACGATAAGTTTTTAAACTATGTTTGTTTTTCATATGTTTATGATGCGTATCAAAATCTGATGATTGTTCTTTACATTTACTGCAATAGAAAAAATGATGCATTTGCATGATTTCTTCTTGTTCCATCATGATAACCTGAATTATTTTTTTTCAAAATTAATTTGCAACCTTTTAACAATCGAATCAGAAAATCCTACCTCTTTATTATGTTTTTGGGAATAATGTTCCTTCATTTCACCAATATCGCTAAGACGTGTGTCACAGTATTGACATGGCGAGTTCAAACTAAGCGAACTAGAGTTGTTAAATTGATTGAGGATCATTTTGGGTAAACAAATAAAAACAATATCTTCAGAAAATTTGGCATGACCAATGTCGACATCTAATTCATGCAATGATTGATAATGCAATAGAATATCCTTTTCTTCTTTCGTACCAAAATTGACATCGATTCCTTTGCAAAGCAAACAAACGAATCGAGTAGCATTGACGGGTGAAATTATTTGCCTGATCGAAAGAAATTAAATTTTTCAAATTCTATTTTAAGACTATAAAAAAAAAGGAATTCAGTACCTGAACAAATAATTTTCTTCTTCTTTATCAACAGAAATAGCCAAAGGAAGCGGAAGCTCCGAATGAACCAAAAGAATTTTATCGGGTAATTTTTCCATATGGGCATCCTGAACACCATCATTGTGGATACAATCTTCGATTTCTGGTAATGTATCAAGATATTTACTCAACGAAACTGGTTTCTTAATTGATGGACCTTTCGAAACATTTGATACGTTGGTAGCCGGTGTACTGATGGTTGGCTTTAAAATGGTTGGAACTTTAATCGTTCCGGTAGCGGCTGTTGCCGTTGTCATCGTCGTAGATGGAGATGTTGTAACGGATGTTGTTAAAGTATTGGACACTTGATTTTTCGTTGTAGTAACTGTTGTTGGTGGTGTATTTGTCGATATTGTGATCGTTTGCGTTTTCGACATTCCTATTGGATGCATTGTGGAAGATGATCGAGTAACGACTACGGCTGCTGTTTTTTCTGCCGATGAGGCTGTTGTTAATGTGACTCTGACGGGCGATTTCGATTTTTCCGTTACAAGGGCTGTAGTTGTAGCTGTAGGGCTCACAGCAGCATTAACAACTACAGGTTCTGTCGATTTTCTTCTTGCTGCTACACGTGCTCCTCTTGCTGTTTGCGGTTGTTCCGTTTCATCATGTGTTGTATCCTTTTTTTCGATTGCCTCGTCAACCGTTGAGACTGCATTTTCTGTTGTAACATCTTCAATTGTGGTTGTTTCAGAAGAATCTTTATCTGAAGCTTTTACTACAGGTGTATCAACTACAGTTTTTGGCTTGGCCATTGATGTTGCTACTTTTGGGGTATTAGTAATGGCAATTTTTTTCTTTGGTGGTTCTACTTTTATCGGGAAACCATCGGGCATATTGACAATCATTTTCTTATCGTCATTTGCATCGGATTTTTGATTTTTATCAGGCAAAGTTGTTGCTGGCGACCTCAGTATAGCAGGTTTCTTTCGATTATCCATTTTTGCCGTTTTATTGTTATCATCAACTTTTGAACGCCTTGTAGATACAGGTGGTGGTGAATAACGCCACGATGATTTCAATGTATCACGACGACGAAGTGAGCCTCCTTGAGCCATGATGCCACGTTGTGTTGGATCTTGGGCCGGTACATATTTTTCATCAAGAGGTATCTCTGATTTTCGTTTACGGCCACGTCTTCGTTGTCCAGTGGATTCATCATCTTCACCTTTAGAATCTATCGGATCGTTTGTATCCGATTGTGAAGTATCACCACTACCTTTACCAGTTTCTTCATCCATTTCTTCATCATTCATATCTTCTTTTTTAATATCATCAGAAATATCAGGATTACGTTTACGGGGGCTAGCTCGCAAACCAGGTCGGCTTACTTTTGTCCGAGGTTTTGGACGAGGCATCTCTATATAATTTTAATTTAAAAAACATAAAAAAATTTATAAAAACTGAGAAAATAATTTAAAGATAAAAAAATGCATTCGGAAAAATTCAAAATTCGAGGGCAATAAATTGAAACATTCAAATATTTATATACTATCGATAAAGCGAATTCAATACAAACAATCGATAGTATGTATACGATTTCGAAATGAATAACAAATTCGAAAAAACATACAATGAACGGTAGAAAGATACAGAATATGTGTACCGCTGTGGATATTTTGCCGATAAAAAAGCCGTTGTGAATAAGAAAAAAGAGAGAGCGCGCGCAATGCAATGGGGGGGTTGTGATATACAGCAATCAGGTTGCTACATGCACGAACAAAAATACAAGCCGAGCACAATGAACGAGAAAATGAGCCATGAGACGCCATAGTGAAATCACATAGTTCATGAACGACCCTTAAAAAAGTTGATTCTTTGCCCTATTGTATATGAATTCAACTTGAGAGATTTGGATCGAACAATTATTTGACATATGGATTGATTATTCGAATGATGACAATTGATGAAGAATTTTCAACATTATATATTCGATTAAATGAAATACATCCGATAAGCGAAATAGACAATAAACATGCTTGTTATTGTTCATTTGAGTACTCAATGATCACAGTCGGCCTATTGCCAATGCTTTCAATAGCTTAAATGATTTAATTAATGACTTAACAAATAAAAATATGGATATCAAACAATAATAATGACACAAACCTTCAATTACAATTCAATTGGAACAATTTTCCGGAGCAAAATTAATTAAATTTGATGAAAATTTGTTTTTTTAATCAAGAGCTTTGAAACTGTCCTTTCGCTGAGAATGTGACGCACTCACACTAGCCCTACCTCTAAATGCTAGTAGTAAATTTACTTGCCTCTACAACTTTTTACAAAAAATAATCACAAAGACTTTCATATAGTATAGGACAAATTTTAAAGAATTTGAAATTTTTCACCGAAAAACAATAGCATTCAGATTAATATTTGTACAAAAATTGAATTGATGATGATTAATTAGGTGTACTTATTAAACCATCTATGATCGTATGGGCTAATCCAATTGTGGCAGCCATTCATATTCAATTTAACTACTCGTTCATAATTGATCGGATTTATATTTTTTCTTTCAATTTCATCTTCTTCTTGTTTCCATTGTTCCAGAATTTCTTTCGATATAACAAAAGCATCGCATGGTAATCGAGAAACAATTGATTCAAGGAAATAGGCACAATCATCCAATTCAATATGTCCACCGACTTCGACGATAACCGATCCAGCTCTTACCGGGGTCACATAGTGGTGTATAGGTGATTTACCACCACCCATTCGCTTTCCTTGAGCCTAATGTCCGGAGGAAAAAAACAATAGTCAGTTTCAATCAAAGATAAAATTTCTAAAGTTTTTTTTTCATGAAAAGACCTTTTTCACCACTGGTTTCCAAGGCGATTCTATACGCCATACGGCAAACATTTTTTTAACATCCATATGTTTGTTAATAACATCACGAATAAGATTAATATGATTAATGGTGAAATGGGCACCAGAAACAGCCTAGAAAAAATTAATTATGTGAAAATTTGTAATAAATATCATTTTGGAAAAAATCGTAATCAAATACCATTATACCGAATTGCCCATAAATAAGATCATTATTGATTAATTCTGGACCGCGAATATCAGCCAAACGACGTGATGATTTACGTGGTTCGATACCATGCCAGTTTGGTACCGGACTCATCGGTATTAATGTACGTTCCTCAATTGGTGGCATTGGTATATCTGAAAATAATCCAATCATTTACAAATATTACAAACAATGCAATGATGAAAATATACGTGAAAAATCCGGTAATGTTCGCCACATTTTTCGACCACGAATCTGTTGTGAATATATGACTGATGGCCTTGATATTGCCAATAGATTGGAAATATTTTTCGAAACGAATAATCGACAAGCCATTTTGCAACAAACAGAATTTCAACATGTGATTCGTGTTTGTGTATGCAGAATGATATCTATGGACAACACTCAATGTATGCATGCATGTGTTCGATTTGATCAAATCAAAATGTTTTCATTTCGAAGCGTGCTTTTTTCCCATCAGACGACATGAAAGAAACGGTGGAAAGTGCTGTTCTTGAAAAATTTCATCGTGCTCAAGAATTATCATCGATTCTGAAGAAGGATAGTGAAGAACAAACAAATCAAGATGTAAAACGACAAGCTGAAGAAGTATTAGATGAATTTGATGACATACAAAAACAACGTCAGAATAATCTGAAGAAGACAAAGAAACAATTCAAAAAACAACAACAGCAAAATAAACAAGAATCCGAACCAACGAACAAAGAGAGAAAATCCGAAAAAGCTCTTGCATATTTAAAACAATGGAAAAAACATCGTGATGATTGGAAATTTAAAAAAATTCTACATATTTGGTTATTGAAAAATTGGAAAGATTTAGATAAATTTCCCGATAAACGATTTAAAATTTTTCTCAAATATCTTCATGCACAAAATAGCCATAGCCATGCTTTATTAAGAATTCGGCAAGAAGCCCAACAAATGATTGATGATGAATCCATAGAAGAATCGATTCGTGAACGTTCACGATCCATATTACAATGGTTGCCATAAATTCATGTTGTGGTGACGGACCATCTTTTTTCATCGATGCAAATTTTTCCTTTACACTTGTAATCATATATTTCATTTGTTTAGTGATCATTTTTTGTATACTCGCAAGACGTAATTAAAAAATTTTTTATTCAATTTTTGTTATTCGTTTTTAAAATACAAAAAAAAATCATTTTTGTTGTCGAGGTGCATTACGAGCACCATCATTTGATTTTTGCATACCAAAACGTGTTGGTGGTGTACGGATCTTACGATCTTCTTTGGATCGATTACGAACAATTTTCGAATGGATAGCACACGAAACACAGTACTGAAGTTTTGCATACAATTTCGGCAATGGATAGGCTAAAATGAATTGAAAACATTTGTTAATTTTTGTTCATTTCGAGAATAAAAGTGAAAACTTACAATCATAAACTGATGCTTCAGTTATATCTCGAACGGCCGCCGCTTCTACAATGTTTTTGACAACAAATTTTTTGATTGCCTTATCCTTTGGCACACATCGTGCACAATTTGTACATCGAACCGATTTTACATGACCACGGCCTTTCTTTGATCGTCCATTATTACGGCGTTTTTTAGTCTAATCAAAGATAATGTTAATTAGAAAAAATTTTCAAAAACATCAAATTTACCATTTTGGATTAATTTTATTTATAAAAAATTGAAAAAAAAAAACTTCGAAAACAAAACACACGGTTAAAAGTAAAAGGAAAAAGGAAACTGCTTGCCACAGCCACACAAGCACATGCTTCAAGCTTTTTAAAAAACAGTCACAGATGGCGCCAGAACAAGAATTCAGGGTTGTCATTATAAAATGTAAAATTTGAATTACAAATGGAGGAAAAAAATTTAGTTTTTTTTCAAAGAATTGATTGACGATTTATGAGGAATTAAAACCTATAAATTATCCGAATAATAAATTCGTAAGTCTGGCGCACTTTTCATCGATTATTTTTTATTTCATCAGGCCTAATTATCCGTCGTCGTGGCAACAAAAATTTTCGAGAAAAACAAATTTTAAAATTTGCTAAAAAACAAACAGATTTTTCAGAAAAATAAGATAAAATGTTGCCCTCAATTTTTATCACAATTCATTCGACAACATTAAGTGGTGAAAAATAACACTCAGAACAACAATGGAAAGATCCAGTTTTTTCATTATTACTTTATTATCATTAAATCAGATTATTTTAGGTGAAGCTTTTCTCGAAGGTTTTGCCCATTCCATAAGTAATATGAATGAACAATTGTCGAAATTCATGGAAGGCTTACAAGAAAGTGTCGATTCATGGGCAGATAAAGTATTGGATAATGCAAAAACCGAAGAATGTTTCTTCATCTGTCCAAAAGGTCTGGATCCAATGCATAGACCAAATTATACCTATACGCCTGTCGGTTGTATCACATTTGGAATGCAGGTTTGTTTTAATCAAATTTTTCAGAACAAATGAATCATCTAAAAATATTTATTTTACAAAAATAGGTTAAAGCAGAAGATTTACCATCGAAAACAATGAAAACATGTTGTGATCAACAACAACTATGCTATCATCGTTGTAATTCAACTAAAATCGAATGTGATAATCGATTTCAACAATGTCTACATGATCAATGTATTGAGATAAGTCATGATAGTAAACAAGTGCTTGGTAAGGATGTTTAATTTTACATTTGATTATGACATTTGATTTTTTTTCTCTTAATTTCGACATAGTTTGTGAAACAGCAACAAAACTACTGCTAATGGGAATATTATCATTTGGTTGTAAGACATTTAAAGATGCTCAACGTGAAGCATGTATTTGTCCTCCGATGGAAAAATCGATTGTAGCAGAATTATAAAATAAATGTTAAGATTATTACATTCATATCAACAATATACTTGATGATTGTCATTATTTTATGAAAATGAAAATTTATTTCGAAATTAAAGACAAATATTGATCCATTTTTTTCTTTTTCTTTTTTTTTGTTTCGGTAGAATAAAATAAAAGGTAAATGTTTTTCGTTAGTATTTTTCAAGCAAAACCTGAGAGAAAAAAAAATCGATTTAATTTTAAGAATTCTTCATTATGTCAAAACACCATATTCTATATGGCGCCATCTCCAAAAGAAATATATTGGTTATTTTTAGATTTCACCACCCATATTTTTCTGGTTTACTTTTTATTATTATTTTTATTATTGTTGTTGTTAGTCATTGATGATACAGTATTCTACATTTTCTCTTTAATAATGGCCATCACTGATTACAATCATTACGATCCGATACCAAGATTTGATTATTCATCACCATTCACGTATAAACGTACTAGAGATATAGACGATTATAATGATAATGATGATTATTCAGATCCAGTTCCCGATAGTTTATTTCAACGATCAATCTATATGTTAATTATAATTGCAACGGTATTGTTTTTGATAATAACATTCCCAATAGCAGCATTTTTCTGCATACGAAGAATACCATCATTACAAAGATGTTTAATTTGTCGTCTTGGTCGACGATTACCATTGAAAGGACCGGGTTTTATTATTTTACTTCCGTTTATTGATAAAATTTCTATCATTGATCTTTATGAAACTAGATTCAATTTGATTGAAAATGAACAACAACTTATGACTGGCGATGGTTCAATTATCATGATCAAACCATTTCATGCATCATTAAATGTTACAAATGCATTGTTGACAACAATGAAAATTAATAATGTTAATGTTAAGAATTTTCTTCAGATATCATTTTCGAATCTTATACGATCAAAACATGTTGAAGATTTGGAAAATAAATTGCATTTTATATTGAAAGAATTTGAGGAAAAAATGAATCATTTTATTAAACGATGGGGCTATGCTGTCAGCATGATCGAACAACCACGAATTACAGTTATTGATCGTGCTGATCCAATCAATCCGATCAAAAATAAATTGCAAAAATTATTAAACAAGGATGGATCAGAACAAAAAACGGTACCACAGACAACAGGCGATTTTACCAACCTATTCAATATGTTTAACAATTTTCAACAATCATCGGCTAGCGATCAATTACAACATGTCGAAACAATAGATAAATGTTCAAATACAATGGAATATCAATTGATTGCTGTGGTTCAAACATTTTTCGATCAATATAAAAACTTTCTTGGTGTAGATAAGGATTTTAATGTAAAATTGATTATTGAAGATAATGACAATCCATTGGTCAATTATTTTCACTGCCAAAAAGATGGCAATGTTCGAATGGTCGAAATTGAACCGACCGAACTAAACATGACAGTCAGATTTAAACACCAAACAGATTTTCATCGTTTTCTTACCACACGAGACCTTAAATATCTTAACTTTAAAATACATTGAATCTTTTCCTATTATTATTAATGTTATTGACGATAATTTATCCCCAATGAAATCTTATATACAGCTTTAAAAAATAAAAATTGAATCAAGTAAAAAAATGAGAAAAAATTCATACGATGCTAGTATTTTCATTCATTGAATTCTATTCCAATTTAATTCATTAACATATATAGCTTTTTTATTATATATCTGTTTACGTAATCAGAATTACAGTGTAAAATAATTTTTAATGTTGCTTTCCACAACAAATTATAAAGCAAACAATCATCATCATGTCAGCTGTTAACGATGACAATAAGAAAAAAATTGAAGAAAATTCTGATAACGAAGATTCATCGTCATCGTCGTCGTCATCATCATCATCATCATCATCACCATTGAATAGCAGTAACGTTTTATTTCTAATTTAATTTATTTTAATTTAATTTACTTTATTAATATGCATTGATATGGAACGGAAAATATTATTGTTCAATTCACTTGCATCAAATAAAATTATGTCAAGATTATTATCAAAATTTAAATCATCTAAATTTTTACATTTTATCTCAGGCTCTGGCCATGATGATGATGTTGATGGTTTATCCATCGAAAACATTGTGAATGGAATCAAAAATCATAAATATGATCACATCATATTTATGTGTGGTGCTGGTATTTCCACATGTATGTTCAAATTTGTTCTATCAGGTTGGATTGTATTCATTTATATATTCATTTCCATAGCTGCTGGAATACCAGATTTTCGTTCACCAAAAACTGGATTATTTTCTCAATTGGAAAAATATAACTTACCATATCCAGAGGCTGTGTTTGATGTATCCTTCTTTAAAGTATGAATTATTTTTAATTTAATTGTGGTGATTTTGAGCTAAAAATATTGACATCATCATAATATTTTTTTAAAATTGTAATTTAGTCGAATCCGAAACCGTTTTATCATCTTGCCAAAAATATTCTTCCAGATAAACTCAAGCCAACACCGTGCCATTATTTTATGCGTTTGATTCAAGATAAAAATCTTATGTTACGTGCATACACACAGAATATCGATTCATTGGAACGAATCGCAGGTATATCGGCCGATAAATTAGTTGAAGCTCATGGTTCATTTCATACTGGTCATTGTATGAACAAAGAATGTCGTAAAGAATATTCATTAGATTGGATGAAAAGTATGAGTTTCAATAATATTTTTTAATTAATATTTTTTTATATCGGTCATTTTTCCATGTAGAAATCGTATTGGAAGAAGATCGTGAAGACAATGTTGTTTACTGTGAAAATTGTGGTTCCTATGTTAAGCCGGACATTATTTTCTATGGTGAAATGTTACCCGATAGATTTTATCGATTGTATCAAAGAGATTTCATCAATTGTGATCTGCTAATCATAATGGGTACATCATTGACCGTGCAACCATTTGCTAGCCTCGTCGAATTGGTTGGACCACACGTACCGCGTGTTATGATCAACAAAACTCGGCCAAGTAGGGATCATTTTTCGCGTAAAGATCGCGATATCTTTATCAAATCAGAAACCGATAGTGCATGTCTAGAATTAGCTGAAAAGCTTGGCTGGCGAGATGAACTAGAAAAATTGATTAACTCCGATGAATCAGATAATAAAGCATAATTTTGAAATCCTAAAATGATTTTAATTAATTTGAATAAAAAGATTTTCAAAAATTAAAAAATTAAAAGCCACCCATTTTTCTTCGTTTAATGCGTTTGACTGATATTAGATGGCACTGAAGTAAATGTTACAAATTCGTCAACACGTGTTACAATTGAGAATCTCGTAATTTGTTTTTTAAATTAATTTTTTTTTTGTTTCATAACAATTGTGGTCAAAATTTCATCATTTCAAAATGTCTAATAAAAACAATAACGATGAAATTGATGATCGTTTCACTAAAGTGTATCAGGATCCACGATTCCGTACGTTGAGAAAAAAAGATAAAATGCTCAAGATTGACAAACGTTTCAAAAGTATGTTTACTGATGATAAATTCACGTTACGATACTCAATGGACAAACGCGGAAAACCAAAAAAACATCTGATCGCTGAAGATTATAAAGAATTTTATCAATTAGATGAGGAAGATGTTGATAGGTCGAAAGAACAAGAAAAAATTGCTGAGAAAACCGAAACAATTGTCGAACAAAAGAATGATTTAAAGCTAAAGCATGAATTCGGTTATCATAGAGGTTTGAAAATTAAATCTAATGTGAACGATAATGATGATGATCAACTGGATGAGGAATTCGAAAGTAGCAGTAGTAGTAGTGAATCCGAAGATGATGACGAAGATGAAGAACTCGAGCATGAATGGGGTGAATTGGATAAAGACGCCAAACAGATTGATCAAGCTACTTCACGAATTGCCATCTGTAATGCCGATTGGGATCGTTTAAATGCTCAAGATTTATACCTTCTCTTGAATTCATTCAAAAGTAACACTGGAACCATTAAGAGTGTGAGAATCTATTATTCAAAATTTGGTGAAGAACGACTTCAAGTTGAAGAGGAGAAAGGACCATCTGAATTCATATTCGGTAAAGGTCAAACAGTAACCGAAATAGATGATGACGATGATGATATTGAACAACAACCCGACAAACTGAAAGATAATGATGATGATGAAGAAAACGAAGAAGAAGAAATCACTGATCCAAACACTGTCGAAAAGCTACGAAAATATCAGCTCGAAAGATTGAAATATTTTTATGCTATTGTTGAATGTGATAGTGCAGAAACCGCAGAAATTATTACCAAAGAACTTGACGGTCTCGAATATGAATGTAGTTCGACTATGTTGGACATACGTTTCGTTCCGGATGATATGGATTTCGATGATGTTCGTTTGAAAGAGGAATGTACTACTATGCCAACAAGTTCCACATATAAAGCTCCATTATTTACGAATACGGCATTACAACAAAGTAATGTAAAGATTACTTGGGATGAAACCGATCCACGTCGTAAAGAAGTATTTAATAAAGCATTCGAAGAAGATAATGAAAATGATATCAAAACATATTTGGCAACTTCTTCTGATGATGATGAAAATGATGATGATACATCGATGATCAAAATCGATGAAAATATGCAAGAAAATGATAAAATTAATGAATATAAAAATTTACTTTCTTCACTTGATAAAGAGAATGAAAAAGAAGATTTTGATATGGAAGTTACATGGGATCCGAAACTTAAATCCAAAACGGAAAATCTACTAAACAAACGTTCTAAATCGAATGAAATTGGTGTAGTTCCTAATGAATCTGTTTCCGAATCTGAAGAAGAACCAGAGAATGTTGTAAATTCAAAACGAAAGAAAAAACAACGAAAAAATAAATTTAATGTAGAGGAAGAGCCTAATAATTTAGAAAATGATACGAATCTAGAATTATTAATGATGGATCTAGATACGACCAATATTACAAGCCATCAAAAACGTAAACATTTTAATTACAAAAATATTATTGAGAATGATAAAGCAAAAACCGATGCTGTTGATAATGATGATGGATTTAAAGTAAGTTTTATTTTTATCTAATCGATTGTTGCCCATTTAATCAATCTTATTCTTTTCGAAATTTTCAGTTTAATCCGGATGATGATCGATTTAGTTCAATTTATCAATCACATCTATATAATATTGATCAATCAGATCCACAATTCAAACGAACTAAAGCTTTTGAACAGATTTTGGCTAAACAAAAACAAAAAGCTCGCCGTATGGTTGAAAACGAATCAGAATTTATGGTGAACAAACAACCGGGTCAACAAAAGCGACATAATAATATAAATAATTTAGTTGACAAAATCAAACATAAAGCTAAGGTTCAATTCAAAAATGAAAGACCGAAATCAATGATGAAAAATCAACGATATAATGTGAATAAAAAATTTAAAAGCTAAATACATTTCAACCATTTTATAGTTATAAGATTTTATTTTTCGTTCAAAAATTGAATCATTATATCAGTTCACCATTTTCTAAACAATTTGAGCATTTATTTGTACAATTTTAAATTTCATAATAATAAATCAATTTATTCTAAGATAAATTTTTTTTTCTTGACAATAAATCTAATGGGTCATAACTTCTTGACCAAGTTCTTTCTGTCTTCGTTCCCAAATTAATCGATGTTTTTGTTTCATAAATGCATCGATCACGGTAGCAAAAGGTCCAATTTCACCATCTATTCGTTGGAATTCAAAAACAGAATTAATCAATAAAAAATTGTTTTTTTAAATGAATTACATTTAATGAATAGATTGATTTCAGTATCTCGCACATCTTGTTTTTCTTTCAGACAAATTTTATCCAAATCATGGAATTCATTGATTGTTCGTTCCCAATATGAACAATTTTCATAGCGTTGTCTGATTATTTTCAATATTTCATAATCCACTTTCCTATTTGATAAATTGAATTAGCAACTTTAAATGAATTAGTTCAGGAATTTTTGATTTACTTTTGTCGGAGATAGGCAGATTGTGCTTCATAAACACAGGACATATCATCCGAATAACATTCATTGATTGGTGTTACTGGATGAAATTTTCTATGATAATAAGGATACGGTGGTCCTTTAAATCTTTCCGAAACATTCACTACAAATTAAAAAGTTTAACAAAGAAAATAATGTAATTATTTTTGTTATTTCAATTTCGAAAACACACCTCTGAACCAAGTGACCGGACCATCGAATATTTTGCCAACAACTCTTACTAACTTAATAATAGGACTTTGCACTTGTTCATCCAACGGTATTAGACCGAAATTATTAACTTCACGATCACCTTCTTTTGGCATTGTTAGAAATGGATATCAGTATCGGCCAGAAAATGATCAGGCAACAAAAAGATAACCTATGAAAAATTATAAAATTATCGGCCAAAAATGATGGTGACCTACAACAAAACAGCCGTGCACGATTGCTGTATATATACATGTGATGAAAGACTAAACATCGAATATCGATTGTCGCCAATATTTTTGACTGTTGCCATCACTATTGTGCACTATAAATTGTCAAATTTTACGCATGAAATTCAATTTTTAAAATAGCAATTAACAACAAAATGGCACAAATCGTATTGGAAATACAAACTAACAACGATGAAAATCTCATCGAACGTCGATTTGCATCCGAAATGACGATACCTGATCTGAAAAATCGTCTAGAACTAATAACAGGAGCATCGGCTTCTGAGATGGAATTAATATTTCGAGATTCATCTGGAAATTTAATTGGACCACACGATGATTCGAAATGTCTTGGCGATTATCTTGTTCCAGGTGGTGAACTTCGTCTTCGATTAAATGTTAATGATCCTAATGTTGTTAAATTGGATGATTTATCTGGCGTTCAAAAATTTGAGTTGGATGATGAAGAATACTCTAAACGCAGTGATTCAGTCCGAGCATTCAAGATGAAAAATAAATTGGGACGTTTCGCAGCCTCAACTGCCGGTGACGATTCTAATGATGACGAATGTGTGGAGCACATGAAATTAGGAGATCGTTGTGAAGTGACAGTGAAAAATATGCCACCGAGACGTGGTTGTATCATGTATATCGGAAAGTTGGGCACCAAACCCGGTATATTCGTTGGTGTTCGTTATGATGAACCATGGGGTAAAAATAATGGAACATTCGAGAATGTCAGGTTTGTTTAATGATTTTGAAATACTATTTATTCATAACTTATAATTTTAAATACAGATATTTTGAATGTCCACCAAATTATGGAAGTTTTGTGAAACCGAATTTGGTGAAAGTGGGCGATTTTCCCGAACTTGATGATGGATTAGAATGAGAAGGGGATATATGAAAGGAGTTATAAAATAAATACAAATTTCAATATTTCTAATCATTCAAACACAAAATTTATGATGCATTGTTTCACATGATAAAATTAATATTTTTATAATAAATTCCTTCATTTTTTCCTAATTGCCACTTGGAGCAAAGGTTCCCTGTGGTAGATCGACAAGTTTGATGAATTTAACTTTTTTTGTTTCCAATTCATTTTGTGTGTATGGCAATAATTTGAGCAATGTAACCAATTTAGGTGTAGGAGTTTCACTGTGACCAGTTTGATCCTTAAGCAATGCTTCATTGATCCTAGATGCTAAATGTTGTCGATGTGCCGGCTGTAATAAATCAGCATAAGGAGAATTTTCAGGATTTTCAAATGCCAACAATGATAGTGTTCGCTCAAGTTCATTCAAATGTAGATAGCCATTATCGACACCGAGTTGTCCTTGTGCAAACTGTAATGCCTTTTCCACTTCGTGTTCTCGTATCAATTCAATCAATTGTTGTTGCTATTTTTACAAATTGAATCAATCTTATTATTCAATTAAATAAAATACCAATACAAACCTGTAATTTAAAATAAAGATGTCTATGGTTATCAATCAATTCGGGATAATAGCTATTAATCAATTCTAATGCTGTCTGGATTTTTCCACTTTCAATTGCACTGCGAACCGCTATTCTTCGATCAATTTGCTCTTCGGTTTCTTCATTTTCATTCATATCAAATTCAATGTTAGCTTCGGTCTTGAAACTTTCGGCCGCTTCTTTACAACCTTCGGAAATGAGATATTCCATGATTAATAAATTGATTTCACTACGCTTAATATTCATTTTGTTGATATTAGTAATCCATTCATCCAGATTTTGGGACATTTTCAGTTGATTGGATTGAAAATTTTCGTTTTTGGGATTAAAAAGAAAAAATATTTAAAGCGAAAAAGTTGTAAACAAATCGCAATAACTCTAAAATTGTGATGAACAACAATGTGGCAATTATCGATACTATCGATAATTGTGAATTTTTTGTTTGGAAACAATTGTGACCACTTCCTTCATCAGACATTGTTTCATAAATGATTGAAAAGCGTAAATTTATTCTATTTTTCATTGAAATTCTATTTGGTTATCATTTGTTTGAAAAAGGTAGATTGTTTAATAATTGATTATTTTTAATTTGTTTTGTATTTCATTTAGTTTTGTTTTCTCCCAGCAGATCAACTATAGTTCATTTTAGATTGATCGTTTTTTTATTGTTTCATTCAATCGAACGATCACTTAAAAGGATTAACAGCCTTAAATTGGATCGTGAACGATTTCATCGATTAATCAAAATGTAGCGGTTCGAAAATCCAGCCACAACTGCTCAAATTGTTGTTTAAACATTTTATTATGTCGATGATTTGATGAACGCAAACTCCAGAATCGAGCTAGAAAATTGCGCGCGGAAAATCCTGGAAAATGGACCACCGAAAATGGAACCACTCATTCATATGAAGTGATGCTTATATATCAAATGGTTGAAATCATTTCTTTCTCTCCCTTGTTCTCATAAAAGTTCTATCGAATTGTTGAAATATCTGACAATTTTTTTGGATGATCCATACAATGTGTCAAAATAAATGATTGTAACAATTTTTCGATATTTATTGTTGAATAATTTTCATTAAATCAAATAATATTGATCGAATTCATAATGTCATCAATATTTTCTTCTTACTTTTCTTGTCTATTACTAATGTTTATAATTTTTTCGATTATTTCTGTAATAGTTTCACAAAGGTATGTTTATCTGCACAAATTGTATTCTGTTTTAAAATTTTTAAAAGAAAATAATGGACTCTTTCTATTATCCTTCAAAAAAAAAGTTTCAATAAAAACAGTCAAAAAAACCTGACGTTTTTGTTTTTGTTTTTTGTTTCTCATTCCATTAAGTGTGAAAGAAGGATTTCAGCTCCTGAACAGGATATAATTTATTTTTAAAAATCAATTTTTCAACAAAATAAGTGTTACAGCTTGAATAAAATGTTATTAGTTTTTTTTCAAATTTATTATTTTAATCTTCAGAATTTTTTTGCTTTCAAAGATCAAAACAAAAAACTTGTAGTTTTCTTGATTTAGATGATTATTATAGAATTTACCGACAAAAACACATCGAATCATGTTGAAAGCATGTAAACAACATATGCCCAACATAGTTCCTTTTTTTTATCAAACAAATTGTTTCAAAGAGAATATAAGAAAAATAACTATGCATGATGTCATGATTACCGTTTTATGTTTCTTTTCATTGTCGTTGTCGTCGTCGTTGAATAACAAAACTATTTGCCTATTGAAAAAGATGTTTTTTTTTGTTTAGTTTGCCCAAAATTTCATTTTGATCTATATATTTTGTGTACAAGCATGTTTCTGAAATTTGAATCTTTGTCTTCTTCGTCTTTATTTTCGTTTTCCGGGGATCAAGTTTTGTTATTTGGTACAAGGCATTCGATTCAGATAAACAAGATTTTTTTGGTCGAATTGATGATTAGCTATCATTGTGATTGTTGAGAAAAAGATGGAAAAAAATTGAAAACTTTGAATTGTCATTGAATTGATTACAATTCAAACAAGCAAAACAAGATATAAAGATAGATTTATTTGTTTTCCCCAATAATAATATTTACATTATTCTGTCCATAAGTGGAGGAATTGTTTTTGAACGAAAAATATTCACTAGTTTTAAAATAATTTTTACCTTTAAACAATGTATATTTTCATTCCTCATGAACATTTTTTTTTTGGAATGATTATCATGAAATTTGAATAGGATTTTATTTTGATCGAAATTTTATTCATTCAAAATCAATGTCATTGTGTCAAGATGATAATAATAATTAACATCATTTATTGATTGATTTTCTCTATCAAGATCAGAAAAATTTAAAAAAATAAAGACTAATGAGATACATATAGCCATGGTTCATTGGTTAATGTGGCTAGATACAGATAAATATGATGATCGATAATGATGATGATGAAGAAAATTATAAGGAGAAAAAAATTTGCAATCAATTTTTCCATCACCCAAGTTGTTTACATCCTTCATCATCATCATAAGTAATCAAGTAATAATGTTGTTCTGAAAAATATCAAAGATTTTTTCCCTTTTCTCTGATCTGGTTCAATCAACTTAACGTTTTTCTTCTTTCTTACTTTTTTTCTACATAATTTTTGTTTTTGTTTTTTTTATATCAAGAACAATTCTGTCTCATTTTCGCTTCATTCATTTCTTATGATCACATTTCTTTTCTTAATATGATTTGTTGAATGAATTTATCATTTTTCATTCAATATATCACAAAATAAGAGTGACATGAAAATTGAATATGAATAAATTTTTTTTTCGGTTGAAAATATTGATCGAATTCAATATAAAATGATCATCATTATGATGAATCGATTGTAAAGTGAATTCTTATCCATTTAATCCAATATTATTCTTATATGATTATAACATTTATGTTCACATTTGTTTTCTTTCTATTTTTGAAATGTATTCAAGTGAATTTTTTTCAACAAAATAAGAATTTGTATAATTTTTTTTTTGCTATTGTCGTTGTTTTAATGATTATCTGATTAGCTTCAATTACGCATCATTTTCTTACATAGAACTTAGTAGAAATTAGAAAATTGAAAAAATTTACTACATAAGAGAGTTCATCATCAAAACCAAGTGATTTGCCACTTTTTTTTCACTAAAGACAAAAAAAAATTAAAATGCTTTTTTAACCCTCCTACACGCACACTGTATTCGGAATTCTTTTCTAATCACTTGGCTCATTTGGTTTTTTTCAGTTCCGGTTTTTTTTCCTATTTTGATTTAATAAACGAGAAAAATCTTTTAATCATCATCAAAAAAAAAATTATTTCCACTTCGAAAGATTTTCTACAAGAATTTCATCCCATTCTCAACAATAAAAGAAAGAAAATATTTTAAACGATTTGAATCAAAAGATGGAATTAAATTGAAAAAAATTTAACCACCGTTATCATTTTAGGATCAACCGATCAAGCGAACATCCTTTTATTGTGACAGAGAAAAACGAATTTAAAGTCAACATTTTTTTTAATTTTTGCTTTGCAAAAAAAGAAAAACTATTGACCAAATCACATGCTCTCTAGCTGATAAAAGATGAACATTATCAATCTGAGGCCATTCTTTATTTTTCGATGGACAATTGATTGTTTGTTTGATTCGATATTTGTTTGTTTATTTCACGATTCACTCACACACTCAACGAATTGGGGATGAAAAATTATTGACCAAATAAACTGTGAAAAAATACTGACCCTATTATACGAATTATGTACGCGTACCAAAGTTTAGAAGAAAAAAAATAACATTGACCAGATTATAAGGGGAAAAAATGTTGAATCTATAAATATCTTGAAAGAAGAAGAAAAATCCAAAAAGGAGATGATGAAAAATCTTGTCGACGTCGACAGAAAAAAAACACAGATAAAAGAAAAAAAAATCTTTCATTCATTCATTTATTCCGTAAATACTTTGTCACCAAACGAAAAAAAAAATTCTCTCTATATTTAATATGTCGCTAGAAGCGAATAATAATAATGTCGCCTTAAAAAAAAGTTGATGTGAATGTAAATTTAATCAACAAATAGAGATGGATAAATAAATATCAAAAATATATAAGATAGTGAAATTGAATAATGGACAAACTTATCATTACATTTATAGCAATGACAATTGTATTCGATATCAATCCATTCATTCAATTTGATTGATAGATTTATTCATTCTAATCACATAATATTAATCTTTCATTCATTCATTCATTTTCATTTGTTTATTTCGTTTTTTTTTCATTATGATCTCTAGAATTATCTATTCAATAAGTCATTTAGATATTGTTAATGATCAGAATCATAATGAATCATCATCATCTTTATTATCCAAAACATCTAGGATGATTAATCAACAAAATCATTCGATAATTATATCAACAACAAAATTATCATCAATCCAGAATCAATTAGATAATCATCATGAAAAAAATGATTTAAGAATTTTACCGCGAAGTAAACGTTTTATACAACGTATGCCAAAAACTCCTAAACTTCAAAAACATCATAGTAAATCATCATCATCATCATCATCAATGATGACTAATTCGAATGATGGTACGCAAACATTATTCGAATTGGATAATGAAAAATTCGGTAATATTAGTATGGTATTGGCATCATTATTAGACCACTATGATCATAATCAACGACCAGGTTATAGTGGTCCACCAGCTGTGATAACAACAAATCTTGAAATACGTAGTATGGGACCAATATCTGAATTAGATATGGTATGTATTTCCGTCATCATATATCATTTGAAAAAAAAGAAAATGTTTTCAATTTTTATCACTTAATCAATTTCGGTTGTAGTTGGTGAACTTATTTTTTCTTTCTTATATATGTGACAAGACTTATTAATGATTAAATTAATTATCTTTTTTCTTCGTTTTTGCTTGATGTAATCATTATCAACATTTAACCCTTAATGATAATAATGATGATGAAATCCAAGTTTATTACTAAAATTCTCTAATCTTAATGATAAATGTTGATGAACAGAATTAAATAAAACGAAAACATAAGAAACAAAAAAAAAATTACGAAAGAGATAGTAAAACACATTTGGAGCAATTAGTTGAGAATTCATAAAGGATGATGATGACTGGTGAATAAATGAATAAATCTAGAACATTAAAGATTTTTTTTAGATTTCTATAAATATGAATCATATTCCTGCAAATCATTTGTATGTGGTTGAATTGAATCGAGAGAATTTCATTCCCATAAGTATCATTCACTGAGGACAAAAACATTCAAGGCTTTTTTTAATTAAACGCAATATTAGCTTTCAAAGAGTGGAAAAAACCTCATTACCTTTTTCAATATTATATTACAACTCTGTCGTTTTGCTGTTGTTTTGTTTTTTTCTTGTTTTACTATGGCCTTATAAATCATTTGATGATTGTATCAGAAATGAAAATATAAAAAGTTTTCAACTTATGGATGATGATGATGATTTAGCTTCATTTTTTTATATTCATCAATATGCATTCCTGATAGAGTAAATTGATTTTTCATAATAATAAATTATTATCATTTTCCATTTCTTTCAACAAAAAAAAGTAATAATAGTTTTTTTACCTTCACTTCTATTGATCTAAGCTGATTGTTATTTTTTCTTGCTAAAAATATCATAATTATTTAGGGAAAAAGTCTCTAAATATTAATAAATGACTTTTTTCTAAAGTTCTGCACATTTTATCACAATGAGAAATTGAAAAAGTGGCCAAGAATATTTTGAATATTGATTATTTTTATCTCCTTTTTTTCTTTACATTACCATATCTTATTCACATAGGAATATTCACTTGATTGTTATTTTCGACAAAAATGGCAAGATGAACGATTACGTTTTACCGGTAATGTTGATTTTCTTTCATTAAATATTAAAATGTTGGATAAAATTTGGAAGGTAATGTATATAATTCGATTATATTATGCTATAAATTGCGAAAATGATGATTTTTTCTGGATTAGCTTGTTTTTGTTTTTGCGTTTATTAGATTTTCAGAAAGAATCATAGTAATGAATTGAATGGGGAAAAAGTTGACAAACACGCAAACACACAATTAAACAGAATTGAAGATAGGAATAATTATTGCAAAAACTTTCGTAATAATGATTTGAGCAAAAACAAAAGCAAACAAACTGTCAATCATTATAAGACAAAAATGCATAATGAAAAAAAATTCATCTTTGTAACATCTTGAAATGATCTGGTAATCTGTTTTTCTGAATAAAGAAATGATGATGATGATGATGACAATGATAGCAATGATTAGATTTGAAAGATAAATTCAAATTAGATTATATTATGTATTGTGTTGTATCGACATTTTTTGCAATTGTGATTTATTTGCGAAGCTTTTTAAATTTTGAAAACGAAATAATGATGTAAAAACTTAAATGAAATGTGAAATCCAAATATCAGAAAATGATTTCGTTTTTGGTTGTTGTTGTTGAGATTGTTAAGATGGAAACAAAATTCATCTCGACAAACTTTGTCGAAACAGGAATCGTTGGTTGTACAGAAAACAAGCCCGAAAGGCAAATTCGTTTAGTGTATTATAAAAAGGATTTTTTATTTTTCTTTGTAATTCTTTTGAAAAAATTTTCAATAAAACTTCAAAAATCAATAGCTAATGGTATTGATTTTATTTCATTTTCGTTTTTTATGAAGAATTGAAAATTCTCATTCTTATCGGCCATCAATCAGTGAAAAAACAATTGAAAATAATTTTTTGGTCATCATATTTCGACTTGATTAGATCATAATCATATTACATGAGATTTTTTTTGGGGAAGTCTAATTGTACAGAAAACTCATTTCCATAATAATAATCATCATCATTATAATTAATTAGCAACACCAGAATGTTGAAACATGACCGATTCGTCGATCATTATAATGAGGATATAATTATGTATATAATCATCGTATATATTATGGTCATTCGATAGAGCAAAAGATAGAATCATTATCCAAAAACAAAAACTTATTATTCATAGATTTTATCTCTTATCATTATTTTTTTTTCTATTTTTTTAGCCAGACACTTATTTCCATACTGGTAAAGCTTCACATTTGCATATGATCACAACTCCAAATAAATTCTTACGAATATTCAAAGATGGTCTTGTCCTTTATTCCATGAGGTAAGAATTATTGTTCATTTTTTTCAGATTGTAAAAAATTTTCAATGCGAATGAGCGAAAGAAAATGATGAAAAAGCCATCATTATTGACAGATATAATTATAGGAAACCCAGACATAAAATATTTATTTTTTAAAAAGGGAAAATTTTAAAATGATATGTGAAAAAAGATAATACGGTCGATGATAGAAAAAATTGTCTAAAATTTTTCCACTGTTACTAATACCGTCCGACGATCTATTAAATAAGACATATAGATAATTAAATGTTTCCAACTGGAAAAAAAATCTATTGTGAATTTTTCAATAGAAACCGTAAATGATTCCATTTCCAAATAACCAACTTTTATAAGAATTTCAACGGAAATGATTAAACATTTGATTTCTTTTCCTTCTTTGATCTTTGATTTTCCTTTTCACGCATACCCACACACACAGTGTTTATTTCTGGATCACTTGTTCAATTCTATCTATTTGGTTTTATCCACATAACGAAATCTGTTCATTCCGAACAACAACAATAAGAACAATAAGAAATGATGAAATCGAATAAAAATTGAACCATATTTATTTGATAACTATTATGCAACTAAAAAGAAAAATTGCCTGCTTTTAAATTATTTGCATAAATAATTTAGATCATTTTGGAATATAAACTATAATTAGATTTATTCATTTTAACTTTTGACGATCTGTTTCGCTGAACACGATTATTGAAGTTGAAGAATTGCGTTATTTTATCTATTATTGAAATTTTTTTCATATACATTATTTCTTTTCGCTATCACATTTTCATTGAATGATTATTTTTGCTTTTGTTTTTCTTATTGTTTCAACAAAATAAAGATTGACTATCAAATCTCTTTGCCCGATGGATCTACATAGTTTTCCTATGGATAAACAAAGCTGTCCATTGATTCTTGGAAGTTGTAAGTAATTTTCTTTCTCTCTTAAAAACTTTTTATTCTGTTTTAATTGCTGTTTTTACACAGACGGATTTCCGAGCGATCAACTTGTTTATAGTTGGGATAAAAAACCAGTCACATTTAATCAGAAAGATTTTACATTATCACAATTTGATATAGTTAAAACTATTTATCGTAATGGAACATTTCTATTTAAACGTGGTAATCATTCAATGCTTCAAGTAAATTTCAATTTGCGACGTCATGTTGGCTATTTTCTCATACAAATCTATGTACCATGTTCATTAATTGTAGTATTATCATGGGTTTCATTCTGGATCAATCGTGAAGCTACATCCGATCGTGTTGGTCTAGGTGTAACAGCCGTTCTAACACTTTCAACATTTGGTCTAGATTCACGTAGTGATTTGCCGCGTGTTAGCTATGCAACAGCATTAGATTGGTACACTGTCATGTGTTTCCTGTTTGTTGTATTTACATTATTAGAATTTGCTGGTGTACATTATTTTACTAAAGTTGGTACCGGTGAAGTACCCGTCATCGAAATCGATGATGATTGGGTTAAAAGTTCGGATGATTCTGATAACGATGATTATGATAATGATAAAATTTTTGATGAAATCGTTGATCATGATTCTGATTTTAATGAAAAATTTCAACAGTCTTGTCGAAAACGGCAACGACAACGACGAAGACTACGACGTAAGTCGATAATTACATCCGGACAAAATTATCGATCTAGATCCCGAATAGTTCAACAACGCCGTGATTGGGTTAATAATAATAAACAACGCATCGATCGCACATCATCATCATTAATAAAAGTTAACTATTTGAAGCCTTACGGTCCAATTCCAAAATCCTATCAGATGGATCACCATTATCCTTATAATATGGATCATCAGAATGAATTGAATCAGGTAAATTAAAACGAAACAATCATAATTTTAATCTAAACATTAGGGAATAAGATTAATTTATGATAATTACAACATTTATATTAAATAATGAGAAATGAAGTATTTTTCAATGGTCGATTCATATAGATTTGATGTTCATTATGCTTATCGACAACATTTTCTTTATCTTTCAATTTATTATTTTGATTAACATTTGTGGAAGCTCGCCGTCGAATTGATGTTAGTAGATGTGGACAATCACGTTTGAAATTTATATTCCAAAATTCATGAAATTTTTTCATTTGAACATTTTGATTATTTTGTTTACTATGTGCTGTAACTTTATTAAATCCGTATAGATTCAATTGACGAACGAACGATATGATTTTTTTCGTCTTAAAATGATTAGTGTCTAAATATTGTTGTTGAAATTTTTCATAATTAATTAGGATAGTGTTACCATCCGATGACCATTTAATAGCATCGTTTGTACATTCATTGATGATTTGCCATAGAATCCGTGGAAAATATTTGTCACCATTTTTCTTTCTTCTAGGCATTTGACAATGGTCATCCATTTCCATCGAATAATTTCGAATTGGTGATGAATCCGGTTGCATTTTTGGCTGATCGTTCTGAATAAAGGAATTTTGACCATCGAGATCGTTATCGAGAGAAACTATTGTTTCTTCAAGTTTATTTTTCAAATTTTCATCGATTGTTTCTTCAACGGAAAAATCCATTTGTATTACATCATATGCTTTAGCCAATTCATTCTGAAAACCTTGAGATCTATCTAATTCACTTAAAGTTTGTTTTAAATTTAATAAATCCGGTGTCGAACCGCTCGAATCGATCATATTGAGCAATAGATTTATAGCTGTAGATGAATTTGTTTCCATTGTCAAGTGATGAAACAAAAGAACAGGAACAAAAAAAAATCGAACGGACAATCTTCCGAAAATATTTCTTCTCATTCTACTTTTCAAGAAAATTTATCAATTATTATCTTTTCTCTTTTTTTCTTTTTTTTGTTATAGTTTCAAAATTTTCCTCATTCTTTGGAAAATGTTACTGAACAAATGGAAAGTATTGGATCGATTGTTCATATGCCAAATTGTCCAAGATATCAACATCAACAGCAAAGTAAAACACAAGAGAATATTGATTGGACCACATCATTTTGTTCACCGATGGTCAATAATGATGATGATTATGATGATGACGGCGATGATGATGCTCATGATGCTGATGTTCATGATCAAACTTCTTCATCATTAAAACTAAATTCAAGTTGGCCTACATTAGGCTTGTATAATCAAAATTTGCGGCCAAATGAATTATTTGAAAATTATTCCACTGAATTTCTCAACCATCGATATGATGAAAAAATGATGACAATCAACAATGATAAGGATCAAAACGATGAAAATGGTGATGACAATAATGGTCATTGCGATATCGATTCAGATAGTACTGAATCTGATTCTTTAAGTTTTTGGCTATGGACACGAATTATTCATCCATTTTCACAATGTTGTATACAATTCTGGTATTGTTTTACGGCCAATGAACAATTCAAAAAAGAGATGATCAAACGACGTACAAAAAGTCAGGAAATGTGCGCTGCAAATAGTGTTTCAATGATCGACAAAGTTAGTCGAATACTGTTTCCTTTCGTATTCTTCATGCTTAACATGGCTTATTGGACATTCTACATAAATGAACGAAATTCCGATTTTATCCAATGGGAACAATAATGATTATTAAAAAAAATTCTGTCCGATCAATACATATAAAACACACAATGTCAATAATAAAAAATAATAATCTATTTGACAACTGACAAACAAAGATATATAAAATTATTTCTTTTATGAAAACAAGAATAAATGACATGTATGAAAATGTTCAATAAATTTGATTATATGTGTTTATTCAATGAATAATAAAAATACAGATGTAATCATTGGCTTTTTATTAGTTTATGTGAAAATAATTTCATAATATTTCTATTTTTTTATTTTGCTCATATTCATAAAGATAAAAAATGTTTAATGATAATACTGTGATTGAACATATCAATCGGAATCCAGATTTATACATTCAATGTCTGAATTTTGAACAGGTTTTCGAACTAATGATTGTTGCTGTGGTGGCGGTTGATTTGTTGTAGCTAAACACAAAATTATAAAAATAATTAAATTTAATCGATGTAAGTTTATTCATTGAATTTTACCTCGAATTGATTGTCCGGTTTGAAATATAATATGATTTAATCGAGATTCGATTTGTTCCAACTTACGATTTTTGATCACCTTTAATTGAAAAAAATTAAGACAAATACTTGAAATTAAATTAATCATTATTACCGATTCTTTGATGCGAGCTAAATTCTTAATGACTTCATGATCGATTTCCAGTGAACGACGTTTATGACGCAAGAAAAGATAAATATTATTTACATACAATAAGAATTTTATAGAAAATTCTTCTCTCGTGCTGATCTGACTGAAAAATTCTTTTTGAAATTCAATTCGAAGTGTTTCCATTGTTGCATTACGATATCGCAGATGATCGGTGATTGGATTCTGTTTCATCCAGTTAGTTACTTGATCAAAATATTGTTTCAACGTTTGATCAGTAATTGGTTTTAACAAGAATTGATGATTGTTTGAAGATGGGGCGATATATTCTTGACGTTGTAATGGAAGTTGTGATTGTGCATATTGGTTATTATAATATCGAAATGTTTCTTCATTCAGTCGTGAATAAAAATCATTTGTCGGTATGATTGCACCAGTTAGCATGGATTGATTAAATCGATGCTGTAATAATGATGTCATTTGGACGTTTTGTTGCGAAAGGCCATTCATCATTAATGGATTGAGTGCATTCTAAATTATTCATTTAATGAAACAATCAATGAAAATGTTATTAGTAAACAAAATTAAACGATAAATACAACTTACCGTTGGGATAATATTTTTCGGCACAATTTCCGATTCAAATTCATCCCAAGCTGCACGACGTTCTTCTTCAGTTAGATTTTCTTCGGGTCGATTTTCTAGTAATGAATCATGTTGATGAAACGATACGATGAGATCTTTGTGTTTTCTATAAAGATCACAAATTAAGAGATCACTTTTTCCAACTTCAACTGGAGGTACTCTATAAGCTGATTCCGGTGGTTCAGGTATAAAAGTATACAATTCGCATAATTCTGATTGTTTAAAATAACGTGCAATTTGATGTTCATCAATCACACGTAATGCCATTGATTGTTTCATGATTTGACGATCATAAATTTTCTGTTCCATAGTACCATACGATATGAAACGATAGATATATACAGGTTTTTCTTGGCCATAACGAAAAATACGATAGATAGCTTGCAGGTCATGTGTTGGATTCCAAGATACATCGAAAATAATGCATCGATTTGCACCAATTAGATTAATACCAAGACTGCCGGCTTTTGTAGATATGAGCATTAATCGTGAACGATGATCATCTATATCATTGAAATTATTGATGATATTCGTTCGACTGTCACAACTAACTTTTCCATCAATGCGAAAATAATCAATATCACGAATCCAACGATTACTTACACCACCAGTTTTCTCTACCAATTCATTATAGCCGATATTTTCACCAAATTTTTCATTTGTTTCTAAATTCTTTTCATAGAGTATTTTTTCGATCAGATCTAGATTATGCAAACTTTGCGAGAATACCAAAAGCTTATCGCCAACTTTTTCGCATTCTTCCATGATGGAGAATAATAAAATAAATTTTGAACTTAACTCGATACGATAAATATCATCATTGCCATAATCTTTCAGTATATTTTTCCACCACATCGATCTCTGAGCACTAGCACCATCATCAATCAATCCGTTAAGATTTTCATGATTTGTTGGAATATCAGGTGCTTGTCCTTTACTTCTTAATAATCGTTTTTCTTTATGTAATTCTTCTAAGTTATCAAATACACATTCGATATCTGATTCATTATCATAGTTTTTATCGTTATTATCTTCTACACCATTCGATTCTATTTTAATATTCGCAACCAAATCATCATCCTCATCATCGGACACAATAAAATTCTTCAATGAATCACCTTCTTTTTCCATTTTTTGTCGACATTGATCAACCAATGTAGCCGGATGATTCCATATGTATCGTAGAACCGTAAAATCGTTGAGAAGATTTTTACCACTTGTAGCAGAAGCAAAATTATCCAGATAATTCTTATAAAGTTCGATCTGGATTGTTGTCAACTTTATTGTGAGAACAAATTCATATTTAGGTTTCAGATATGGTACCAGAACAGAATAATCATGCCGATTGATGGCATCTTTAAGTTTTTGATGTAATACATGAACACGTCGTTTCATGTAATGAACATCGGCATCAGTCGAATCAACATGTTGACCATTACTGATTGGATTTTCAAAACGATTTTTGAATTCCCGTTTTGTGCCAAGAAGATTTGGTTTGACAAAATCGACCATAATAAAATATTCGGATAGATTATTCTGTAAAGGTGTACCGGTGAGAATAATACGTCGTAATGTGCGTATTTGTGAAATGGTACAATTGAATATTGTTTTATCATTTTTAAGAAGATGTCCTTCATCGACTATGACAATATCCGGACCAGGATTTAATAAGCATTCACGAATAACAGGCACATCATTAGCTTTTTCTCTTCTAGAGAATCTTTTTCCAGTTATCATCTGAGAAAACAAATTGATTGTCATAATCAAAACACCTCCATTTTTTCGCCATCTTTGTAATATTTTAATACGTTCATAAAGATTTTTTGTTGATGTTGTTTCATATGTTGCTATACAATTATCAAATTCAAGCCATTTATCGAATTCCATTCTCCAATTTCTTGCTACATTCAATGGTACAATTATGAGTACATGCTTGATAATATCACGGGTATAGACATTTTTCATGATGGTATGTAGAAAAGCAATCACTTGTAATGTTTTGCCCAAACCCATCGAATGTGCCAATATACAACCAGATTCATGCCCATGTTTTTTTAGACGTTCAACCGATTCGATAGTTGAATTGAACATAAACATAATGCCTTCGATTTGATGTGGTTTCAGAATTTCGACAAAATGTTTATCCACTTCGACCAATACTTCTTTAGTTTGCTTATCGAAATCCAATATTAGACGTTTACATTCTTCATTTTTTTGTCCGATTGGATCGATAATCTTTTCATTAATTGAATTGTAAAGTTTTTGTTTTTCTTCAATACGTTTACGGCGATCAAGTTCAGCTTTTTCGGCATTTTTTGTTTCATCACGAAGATTTTCATCTTTGAGTACTTTTCGAATTTTTTTTCGTGTTGAATCTTTATCCGGATTATCATCAATGTCACTGCTATCATTACTAATTGAACTATCGTCATTGATTACTATTCTTTTTCGACGTTTGCGAATTTTTTTCTTTGTTTCGGTTGAAATTGATGATTGAGAATCATTTTTTGATAATGAAATCTGATTTGTTTTATCGTTATCATTTTCCAAAGGATCAGATGATTGTTTTGGAAATTTCCCATTGGGTTCGCCTTCCGTTGAAACATTTTCCTCGTCATCCGTTGAAATCATTGTTCTTTTTTTCCTCTTAATCGTTAATATTTCTTCATCAATATCATCATCGGAAAGCGGTGGTGGAAATTCTTCATCGGTCATCAAATCATCATCTAACTCGTCGTCATTAACAACATCTTTTTCGAAAGGTTTAGCTTTACCGTTTGTTTGTTTTTTTAAAAGATTGTTTGATTGGAAATCTTCATCATCATCATTATTGCTACCGCTTGAATCGAATGAATTGTATTTTTTCATTAGCTTATCTATCTCTGTCAATTTTTTAGTTTCATTTTCATTTTTTTCATTCGATTTGTCTTCTTTACTTTCGACAGAAAGAAAAACTGTCATATTTGCTTCGGATTTTTCTATTGATTGTTCATCATCATTATCATTATCTTCTTCTTCATTAATATCACCTTTTTTTTCATTGAAACCATCATGAAATAGATTCTCAACTTCATCTATTTCTGTGGTCAGTTGTTCCGGTATTTTGCCTTCAGCATCGAAAATACGAGAAATCTCATTTTGATTGAGATCACAGTTGTGATGAAGTTCATTGTTGTCATCATCAGCTTCATTCTCATCATCAAAAATTTTGGTGGAATGAATGATTTCGGATTTTGATTCGCCAACAACCTCATCATTTGAATGATCTGTTTCATCATTTTCGACTGATTCATTTTTACTCAGCAATTTATCTAGATTTGGAATGTGTGTAGAAGGTAAATCTGGTGATTTTTTAGGCAATATTTCAGTCGAATTCTCTGGAGAAGATATCTGTGTAAAATTTGGTTCAGAATCCTTATCGCATTCAGAATCATTTTCGGTTAGGAATCCATCATCTATATCGTTTGGAGAGTGTTGATCAAGAATCTCATCAACATCAAATTCAATCGGATCACCATCAGATATGTTGGGATTTTGTTTATCAATCGAACTTGAGCAACATGGCTCACCGGGGTCCCATGATTTTTGTTGTTTTTTATCAGAATTATCAATACGAACGGCGGCAGAAGTAGATGCAAACGATGGCTTAACAGTGTCAATGTTGTTTTTTGAAGGAAATAAATCCTTTAAATTCATAGAAATCCGTAAAAGGAATGGTGTTTTGAGAAAATTCAACAATTCTTCTACCTCTTTACCATTGTATTTTTGATTGGAATTAAGACAGCTCAATCGTTTTAGATCATCAATAGATTCATCAAAAATATCTTTTAAAACATTCAAATCAATATAATCGTCTACTGATTGTTGTTTTTCTTGATTCTCCGTCGAATGTCGAACATTATCAACAAAATCTTCAAAATCTTCATCATTATCATTTGGCATATTTTATTACGTAAACAACCAAAAATTTTTACAACAAATTTAAACAAATATCGTGATTAAATTTAATGAAACAATGACAAATTTATTGTAGATTTCATTGAAAATCAATTTTGAAACAGAAAAAAGATGCAAATATATTAATTTAAATTCAATGCTCCAACAAAATAAATAGACATTTAGCATTGATTAATGAATCCACTGGATTCCTTGTTAAAAATACAGAGCCAACTATTTTCATATCAATGGGTCCTAGACTGATCCAAATAGCCAATGCCTGGATACCATATATACAAACAAAAGCCGATATTATCGGATTTTAATTTTGTTAAATCATATGACGCTTTCAATTGAAAATCTGAAAAAAAAACAAAATAGTCAAACGTTTTACTGATTGATTAAGAAAAAATATAATCTAAATAACATCCCAAAATCCGTTTTTTTCAATTTAAGTGATTATAAAAAAGACAATAAATAAATAAAATAAAATCAATGGCTGATACATATGTGTATGCTAAACGATCGTTTGTTTTAAAATTTCCGAAATAAATCCATTCGGTTATTGTATCAAAAATTTCCTGAATAAAACAAAACAAAACCTAAAAATTTTTGCCTCGTTTTTTTCAACCAAATTCATGGCCTTCATCTTAAATGAATGAATGCATATGGTTTTGTTTTATTTGAAGGAAAAAAATTATAACAAAAAATTCTTAATCAACTGCAGTTGTTCGGCCGTTTCTAAATATAGTTTTTGTGCTTGTCATTTTTTTTTGCTAAAAATCGTTTATGATCAAATTCATGGTATGTAGTCATTAAACTTTGGCATCAAATCGATGCTTTTGTTTTTAATGTGTGTGTGTGTGGCTTTGTTGATATTAATATTATTTTTCTCTCCATCATTATCATTCTTTTCCTTATCCGTTTTTTTTAAATTCTAGATTCGATTCTTGTTTGAATCTCTTTGGAGCATTCGAACAAATCAGCCAACAAAACAAAGATGATACGTTAAGATATGTTTTTTCTTTGTTGTTCGTTTTTCGAATAAAACAGTGTGAGGATTTCTTTTTTTCTCACTATATTGTTTTTAAATGTTGTGTACGAAAATTATCATCTTTATCATCACAATAGTTGTTTTCATACAAATACGAACATTCTACGATGAACAAGAAGATTGAATGTCAATTTCGCAAACAATGATGATATGATCAAAAAAACAAAAACGATGATGATAGTGAATAGTAAATACAGATTTTCTTTGTCATTATCTCATCTGTTCTGTATTGAATTATAGTATCAAGTTCAAGTACGATTTTTTCTTTCGGCTTTTATTTTGTCTAATTCATCGTATACGACTTTGTTTGTGATTGACAGACAAATTAACCCGGATGTTTCAAACATTTTGATCATTGAGATTAAAATAGAAATTGTTGTTTTTTATTGTATATCCAGAAAAAATGACCAATAAAAAACAACAGCCATCATTAATGATTGAACGAAGAATTCTTATAATTGAACCATTTTATAGTGGATCACATAAACGATTCATTGAAACATTGCTTCCATTATCTGTAGACTATGATTCAGTGTTGGCCCATACATTGCCTCATAATAATCCTATTAAACAAATAAATAATGATAAAAATCCACAACAATCGAATCATTCAACATCGAAAGTATGTGCAAATTCATCAATGAATAAACCATCAAAACTTCCAACAGGATCACAATCATCAAAATGGCCACGTTTCAAATTCACATTAGTCGAAATGACGGGTAAAAAATGGCATTGGCGATCAAGAACCAGTGCTTTATATTTGTCCCGTGTAATTATCAATAATGCTGATCAACATTTTGATGTCTTATTCACATCATCTATTTTAAATCTTGCCGAATTAATTGCTCTACGGCCGGACATTGCTCGCATTTCTTACAAAATTATTTATTTTCATGAAAATCAATTAGCATATCCAATACAACATCATAAGGAACGAGATTTTCAATATGGTTATAATCAAATACTTTCAAGGTATGTATTCAGATCATCATTTGCTTATAATAAAATCTACGGATCTAATTAACAGTTTGGTTGCCGATAAGATTGTGTTCAATTCAAAATATAATCGTACATCATTCATTGGAAATATACGAACATTTTTAAAAATGATGCCCGATTATCGTCCACCAGATATCGATCAAATGATTTACAGTATTGAACAAAAATCTCGTATACTTTATTATCCGATTCGTTTCAATAACATACCATTGATGCATGCACAGCGTCGTGAGAAAAAAATTTTGCATATCATTTGGCCACATCGATGGTATTATGGAAAAAAATTTTAATTTTTCTCACAAAATAATTCTTATTTTTTATATGATTATTAAGGGAGCATGATAAAAATCCGGAAGCATTTTTTAACATTCTGTTTCGATTGAAAGAAGAACGACAAATACCATTTAAATTATCGGTTCTTGGTGAAAATTATTCGGAGATACCAAGTTAGTATAACTTTTGTATTATTACATTCATTCATAAATCTTTCAATTTAATCGAAATTAATTGAATAATCGTGAGAAATTTTTGAATTGAATTGATCCTGTTATTGATTTAATATTAATCTTGACATTTGATTTGAACAGAGATATTTGTTGAAGCTAAAACACGTTTAGCCGAACAGATTGTACATTGGGGTTATGTTGAATCCAATCAAGATTATTACGATGTATTGGCCAGCGGTAATTGTTGCATATCGACTGCGTTACATGAATTTTTCGGTGTCTCAATGTTAGTATTTATTTTCATACAGGAAAAAAAATTGATCGTCGTTCAATCACGAATGTCGGTCAATGTCCATTTGGTAGTCATTTTGATTTTGATTGAATAAAATAGATAGTAGTAACAGTTTTATCAATTGATCATATGATTTTATTTTTGTTTCATTGTTATTAGGCTTGAGGCTGCCTACTGTGGTTGTTATCCATTATGTCCATCACGTCTAGTATATCCAGAAATATTTCCAGGTAAGCAAGCAAACGAACACAAAACCAAGGTTTTTATCATCTAATTGAATTTATCCGTTTTGAATAATAGCCCAATACATCTATGAATCAGATGAACAACTTTTATCAAAATTAGAAGAATTTGGCCGACAACCGGATAAGATTCCCTTACCATTGGATATTGCATATGATGTATTTGATTGGATCTATTGTCAAGATGAATATCGTTCATTATTTACGAAAATCAATCATAAAGATGATGGTGGCAGTGATCGTTCAACACCACAACATTCACCAACACAACCAGCATTGATATCAACATTAACATCAAAATTTAAATCATCGGTTTTGAATCATAAATGAATGAATAGATTATTTTATTTAACTGCCTAAAAAATCTATAATAATTCAAGCACCTCACATTGTTTATTTAATTTAAAAAATGGAACATCACCATGAATAAGCACCAATTTATCATTATTATTCAGATTGTTTTACATAACTATTCATCAATGTTGTTTGCCGTTTGTTTTCTAGCCCATATAATATGTTTGCAAATTCAAATTGTGTTCACACTAATTCCCCCTCCCCATTCACCTGACACAAACACACCCACACCCAATTATCCAATGTTTGCGAGCTTTTAACTTTGATGTCTCTTATCTTTTATTTAAGGTTTTTTTCCTTGAATCTACCTACACAGAAAAAATGGCAATTATTTTGCAATAATTATATATCAATGTTATTGTTGTGATTTGATCGAAAATAAAAATAAAATTGTTTTCTCAATCCTATATTATCCATTAATGATCCATTGAACAGATTATTAGAAAGAAAAGAAACCAGGTTTTTTTCAATGATAATGATGATTACCGACTGATCAACACTAAATGACTGAATGATGATGGCGCCCAATGGCTACAAAAACATTTTTTTTAAATTTTCCATTAATAATTAGATTAAATCTCAACAATCCTTAATATCGTCCATCATGATCATGATCAAACAGAGAAGGAGAAAAAATGTTGCATTTTTTAGGTCAATTTTGATGATGATTATCATCGCCATCAATATGTGTGATGATGAATCAACAATTTCAACAACGAAAAACAAGAAAAATTTATAATTAGAAAATAATAAAAATATTGCTATTCATTTCAATCGATGAATCAATTACAATAACAGCATCATTAGCATTAATGGTGGGGTAGTAGTTAGTATATAGATATTTAGTAGACATTTATTTGGATTTTACAGAAATCGCACATCAATCACATCACCGCGATTGCATTTGTTTGAAAAATTATTAGAAAGACTAGTTTGATCGTTGATTTTTTTTTTCATTCATTCAATAACAATCATCTTGCCATGAATTATCTTCCAATCCATTACAACTATTAATCTTGAAACCTCTTGGTGGTTGATGATGTGCAGTGGTGGTGAATATTGTGCGATTCAATTGTTGTTGTTGTGGCTGTTGACATGGATTTATTGATTTACCTGTGTTCACCATTGGCGTTACCAAAACGTGTGTTGATTCCATGCAATTGTTGAATGTTCGGTTGTCTATTATTTGATTTGGCATTTGTTCGAAATTGTTGATTAAATTTGGCCGTTGTAATGGTTCCTTGCTGTTTCCATAGACTGGGATGCTTAATCTATTGTTGTTAGAAAAAAAATATTAAAACATAAAAATTTCTATTAACTCAAATGATTATATCAAAATATCATAATACTGAGATGAGTGTGATTGTAGCGGAAAAGCAAAGATGTTAAAAAGAGGAAACAAAAATTAAGCGCATCACCTATTAGCCATTGTTGGTGCAGTGATGACAAAATTGTTGCCGTTATTAAATGTTGAAGATGATGATAATGGATTTTTCATCAACCCAGGTATCCGTGATGATGTAACGATGTTTTTATCACCATTGTTGATGTCGTTGTTGTTAGTATGATCAGAACAAATATGATTATTATTATGGTTAGAACCTTCACTGAATATAAATGATGAGCGATGTGGAATAGTGGATTCGCTGACTATAATCGATGATTGTTTAGAATGTGAAGATTTCGAATTTCGTGACAATAATGGTGATGACGATCGATGATGATGATTTACATTATTATCTACCTCCCGTTGATTTTGATTACCACTTGATGCATTCAAAAAATGATTCACATTCAAATTTGAATTACAATGATTATTTGTTTGTTGATGATTCCTAACTGGTTTTTGATTTGAATATTGTTGTCCATCAAACATTGTTGTAATGGTCATCAATGTCACTGATGATGATGATGAGGACGGCCGATTAGTTACACGAAATGTAGACTTTCGATCCAATCCCATTCCTAATCGTTGTTGTTGAACATCATTACCATTCAAATCTTGTTGTTGTTGTTGTTGCTGCTGCTGTTGACCATCATCATCATTGCTCATCTCAATCTTATCAATATTTAAATTCGTGCGCCACACATATTTAGATGCAAATTTTTCAGAGAGAAATGAGAAAACAATGGCAAGGTAAAGGGAATAGGATACAGACAAACACACAAAGTTATAACAGGAAGCAAGAGTATTAAAAGAGAATTTTTAATTAGTGCTTTTCACAAGAATAGAAGTAAAAACAGAAGAAAAACCAAATATATCCATTCATGTTATAATGTATTAGGAATTCATAATTATCATGCATTAAGAAAAATCCCATGCAAACATAGATCATAAATGTAAATCATTTTGCCTTTAACTAAAACATACCTGGCTAACAGCGCGTGGAATTTGAAATGGATTTGATTGTTGTTGAAAATGATGATTCTGAAGTAGTTGTTGATCACGTATCGAACCCATACTACCAAAGCTATTGGTAGATCTTATGGCAGTGGTTCCGTTTCCAGGAATACCACTGCTACGAATATTTACCAATGATGGTTGGGATGAAACACCATTTGCGGTTGGACGTGCAATTCGTGATATTCGACTACCATTAGTAGCAGAGATTGCTATTCCAGTAGGACCCATTAGGCGACTCTGAAATTTCGGTGCATTGATCACCTGTATCTGTGATAGTCGAGGTTTCGACTTTATGCTATGAACCGATAATGGTGCTGAGCCATTTGTTGTACGTTTTTGTGCATCTAATAGATTAGGTTCACTACGGCCCCCAGACATTGTTGATGATCTCAGAGATAATGTTGAACAGTCAGAATTAAGCAGATCATCATTAGATGAGACCAGATTTACTTGTTTCATTGATTGTCGCGTTTTGCTTATAGTTCGATCATTTATATTATTCATTTTATTGTTGTTGATCTGTCCTTGACTTGCTTCACGTCTCAATAACAAAGTACGAGTATTATTTCTAGAAATTGTGGGAAAATTCCTATCAGATGTATCTGATGTTTGGTTATAACTGTCAACAATATTCCTATAATTCTCATCATTACTATCCTCGATAAGATTCGATTGCTCCGTGTTCATTTCAAACGTACGATTCAATGTTGGTCTTTTTAAATCATTGTTGTCGGTAAGACCACTATCAGATGAAAGGCCAAATTCTTCGACCAAATCATCCGAAGTTATCATTAAATTATTGGCCTGATTTAGATCACTACTGTTATCCGTTTCGGATGTTGAAGTATTGCCAGGATCACATTCTAAACGTTGTTGTATATTTGAATGATTACGACCAACAATATCCAAAGTAACATTCAATATACGACGATTTGTCTTTGTTATCGTATTTGTATTAATCGGCAGATGATTATCAATCATGGTAGGAGTAGTAGAAACATTTGATGTAATTATTTGTCCATTACTATCAGAACTTGTTTCTGTGGAAGATTCGGTAAATTTCAGCTTTGATTCGATTAGACCAAACGTTCGATTTAATTCACGATTATTATTATTATTGTTATTGAGAAATGGGCGTGAAATCGTTCCTTTTGTTATAGTACCATAACGTACAGTATTATCATTGTTCATCGATGATGAATTGGTAGGAGTATTGAATTGATTATCATTAAAATTATTATTTTCAATCTTTCGTTTTGTTATGGTTGCCGTACGTGATACGGACGATGATTTTGTAAGATAATCAAAACGATTATAGCCATTTACTAATCATGAATGAAAATTCAAATAATTAATTTAATATTGAAAGGTAAAAAAACATACTTGGAGTCAAATGGCTTCTAGAAGAATCTGAAGAAGATAATGCTGAATTCTGGCGAAAATGATGAAGATTACTATTGCTGTCAATGGAAACATGAAAATATTTTTTATATTCATCATCAGATTTTATCTGTATATAGCCATTAATCCATTCGAGTACAATATCATAGGAAAAATTTGTTTCAGGATTATATTCCTTATCATTTAATAGCCAATATTCTTGTCGACAAATGTATTTGAATTCCGGTGCATTCAAATCAAGTATACCTAAATCTTCTTCAATATCGCTGGATAATAATGAAAGACGACCAGATGGTGATGTTTTCGTAATCGTTCCACGATGATTTACAATCATCGATGATGATGATGATGATGCCGTTTTAATAAACGGTGATAATGTAGCCATAATTCATTAAATTAGAATTATTGAAAATGCAAAGAAAAAACTATATATGATGGCAGTATTTAATTTTAAAAATGCTAATAAGTAGAAACGAAATGATTTGGTTGGACGGATGATATTTTGTTATCGCAATACACACTAAACATAACAAACAAACAAAAACAAATAAAACAAAATTTTTGAAAAAAAAATTTTTTTTTGTGAAAAAAACAAACAAAATTCATAAATTGTTGCAATCCATCGTTGCTATCGTTGAGTGTGACGATGATATTTGTTTACCTTTTTTTTTCGTAAAACTTTTTTTTCGGAACAGATCAAAAAAATTTTTTCTCGATATTTACTATGAATGACCAAATTTGGACATATAGTTATCGTAGGTTTCAATAAATGATCCTTTTTTTGAAAATTTTTTAATAGATTTTTTTTTCTGTTTCCAAAAAGAAATGTAGATATTCTCTGTCTTTTATGATATTGAATTTCGTTTGTCTGCTTACTGTGGCAATGTGTGACAATGAATAACGATGAATAGCGAATTAATATAAAAATAGAAGAAAATCTAGACAATCATCAATCAAACAAAAAAGGCACAAGGACAATATTAATAAAAAAAATCAAAGCTCATAATGTTCAAGTCGATTCAATGAAATTTTTCGATGATGTTGATGACCACCACCTGATGAATGACAGACACACGTTTGATAAAAATAAAAAAAAATGAAAACAAATTCTTGTATTGCAACATTGAATTTTATGACTCATTTGATTGATTTCATAATATTAATCAATTTTCTTCTGTGATTACTGGCGATGATTGATGTTTTCCAAAAGTTTGTCGATTGTTTTCGTTATGAAATATCACATCATCTGTATACAAACACTGTTTAAATGAATAACTTTTTACCTTAGACGTTGTCGTCGTTGTTGTTGATGTTATCGTTTTCGTCGTCGTCGTCGTCGAACATTAAAAAAACGACGCAACCACAAATATTGATGATGATGGAAAAAAGAGAAATATGTGAGGATAGCCACCACCTTTTTTTCACAAACAAAAAAAAAGTTGTTGATATCTTTTTTCAAAAAAAAACATAATTCCACATATACTCTTGCCACTACTACGTCTCTTCATTCTATTAAAAGGATACCATATTTTCACGGATATTTTGACAAAAAATTCTTTGGATTTTTTATTTGAGAATTTTTTTTCGGTTCATTATAATTCTATCGATATAATGATAAATTCTTTTGAAGAATATAAAATCTCGCGAGAATATGGTAATGATCCTAGCATAAGAACGTTTTTTTTCATATGTATCTCCTATTGTCATACGATTTCACTTGTTTGAATCTAAAAAGTTTTTGAATTCTGTGCTTCATTTTCAAACAATTTCAAAGGCGTAACCCATGAATATTTCTTTTCTTGTTTTGTTTTTTTTTTTGACATTCAAAATTCTCAATCAACCAATGATAATAATATCATTTGTTGATTGTGTTCATATCAACAACAAAAAAATTAAGAAAAAACGTAATAAGATTTTTTTCTATATAAAAACGATGATCCATAGTTAAATTATTTAAATAGATAGAATAGATAGATAAGGATTTTTTTCCTTTTCATCTAATAATGTGTTATTTTATGATAATGATTATTATAGCCATAAATATATTTAATAGTCTTGGAATAATAAAGAAATTGGAATGAGAAAGAAAGAACAACTAACGCTTATTCTCATCCGATTAAATTTATTTTTAACGACCAACCACAAAAAAATTATTTGGATTTTTTTTCAACTATAAAATTATATCCGTTGTTGAATGAAAATACCCTTTTTTTTGTATGGACAAAAAATTTATTATTCATTCGGTCAATTGTTATCGTATAAAAATAAAGAAGAGATTATATTTTTCAACCAATTTTCCTTATACAATGATTATTATCATCATCGTTAGCATTATCGATTATGATTATGATGATGACATCCCGAATTTCAGATTTTCCGACAAAAGAAAAAATGATGCTAACATAATAATGAAACATCAAAAACATCGTTCATAGAATTAGATTCATCACGCCATAATCATTATTATCATCATAATCAGTATGGTTATATTCAATGTCACATGTTCTATTTTATGGTGTTTCAGTTTTTCATATTTTTTGTTGATGTGAAAAAAAACATTTTTGAAATGTCACAATTCTATGAAATGTTATTCAGTCATAATTAAGGTCAATAATAAATGACCTTTTTTTTGGAGGTATTGCAGAAAATGTAAATTTAGGTTTTTTCACCATGTTTTGAATTCTTTGAATTCTTTTTCAGATTACTAATAGTTAAGTGGTAAACCTTTAATTATAGATGATTATCCGAATGAACAAATAAATCATTAATCATGATAAAGATAAAGCGAAAATTTTTCACATCAACATCATTATTTAAGTGGATAAAGATATTTAACACATTATTTCGATCATCAATTAACCAATCGAGAACATTTTTTTTTTGTTTTAATTTTGTTGAAATGATTTTCAATTAGAAAATTTTATAGCGAAGATAATATTATTTTTTTCGGATTAAATCGGATGTTTAAAGGCGAAAAACCGATTATCACAATCGTTATGATAAATTGATTTTTTTCTCGTATAACAAATGTAAGAAAACGAAAGCCAGATTGTTCAATGAATAACACTTTCTAACTATTGAAAGAAAAATGTATTGGAAAAAAATCTTAAACAATTGAAATGATATCCGGAAATTGAACAAAAAAGATTTTCATTTTCCCATTGAATAAAGATGATGTGAATGAGAAGCAAAAAAAATTTTCTGACCGATCAATCAATCGATCTAATGGATTTAAAAATCCAAAAAAGACTTGGCCACATCAAATTGAAAATAAAATAAATGGATTGATTAAAAATCTAATAGATGATCGCCAACTAAGTGAATAATAATAAGTTTTTCTTTCTCATTGATTCGTTCAAAAGAAGCAAAATATAATTCATTGACCTCATCAATGAATTTTTTTTGGTTTTGTTTTTTAATTTCTGTATTTCTCAATAACAAACATGACATGACATAAACATGACAGAAAACAAACGAATAGGCCAAGAAAAAAAACGCAAATGAGCAACAAAAAAAAACCAGATTTTTGATGTCTTCAAGAAAAATAGAATAAAATGAAATCATTTTTCTTTTCGGACAAAAAAAATTGGAGATTTAGGTCGATTATTATATGTTTTGCCAAGTATAATGAATGAATGAATGAATGAATGAAATTCACAAACTTCACAAAATTGTGGTTTGGGTTTATCATAATGTTTCCACTGAAAACTGACAAGGTTTACGATATATATAGAGTGAAATAAAAACCTGAAACCAAAATGAAAAGCAATGAAAAAACTAAGCGTAGCAAATAATAATAAAAAAAAACTAATAACAACAAGATTGACAGCTAACCATATACCTATGATGATGAAATTTTTTTTTCCTTCATTTTCGGATCCTACAAGAATAATAATATACTTTAACAGTCATGTTTTTTGTTTCGGCTAAGAAAAAAAAATCTCATTGTTCGTCATCATTATCATCGAAAAACTTTATCGGGAAAAAAAAACAAATTTTTTTTTTTCGTATCAATCCTGATGGCGCCGTCTATGGATTTGAAATTGAAAAAAAAAAATTTTTGATTATGTCGTTTTTGAATATAACAACAAAATGAGTTAAAGTTTTGAGTTTGCGTATTTCAATCGTATCATCATCATCATCATCATCATCAATGTTATAATGTGAGCAACAACATACACATTATTATCAGAAGAAACTTTGAATGATTCTTTATTTTTTTCAATTCATTCAACATCATCATCATTGAATATTGCTGTTTAGTTGTCCTGTTGTCATTTTTTTTTGAAATTTTTTTCAACAATCGACCAAATTGTCAATTACAATCAGTAACAAAAAAAAATTACACATTTATTTCACTACATTACCAGCATATAAAACTCAATTCATTTTTTTTTTAGTGTTCTGTCACTTTATCAATTCATAGTAACGCCTAGAATCTCATAGTAAAGCCGAAAAAAAGCCGCTAATGTTTTACATCATCAATCAATCATTCAAAATTCTGAATTGTACAAAAATTGTATTGTAAAATTATAGTCTTGAATTTTAAACTTCATCATCATCATTCATATTCAATTCATCAATATTCTTAGTGATCTGAGGATTTTTTTCTGAAAATTATAATATAAATTGATTGTAAAACACATTTGAGTAAATATTTAACCCAAATTGCGTTTCTCCTCTCACGATTGTTGTAAATATAATTTTATTAATAATCAAAAAGTTTTCGGATTTTTTTTTCACTTTTTGTTTTTGATATTGAATCATTGTTCATTTCTTTTTTTTCTTGTTCTGTTGAGTCATTGGAATCACAAAACACCTAACACTTTTATTAGCCCAGTGAAAATTTGCAAAAAAAAACAAACAAAAGTATTCATTTATATCCCTTGTTTATAATTATTATTAATCGATTCAAATCATAAAGGTAAGAGAATGAAATTTTTATCCATTTTTTATTGTTGATAAAAATATAACGCCCATTTTTTTAATTTAGATCATCATCATCATAATAGGTTTCGTTTTTTAAACAATTGTTTCGTATAAATCTATTTATTCAAAAAAAATCAATCATCAGCTAAAATGTCCGATTTAGAAATTACTGATTCTTCTGCTGTAACGGGATCAAATGATCTGGTAGCTGAATTTCTTGCACGTGAACAATCTGTTCTTGGTGAAATTGATGATGATTTTAATAAAGATGGTCAAATAACAGCAACATTACCATCATCAACAAATGATGATTTGTTTGATTCCGATGATATCAGTAAGTTTTTTTTTGATTGTTTTTTAATCTCGTTTTTATTATTTTGTTGAACATTCAAATAGAATTAAATGGCGATTTTAATGAATCGCAACCAGCTAATGGTGAAATTGATAATCTTTCTAATGGCATATTGGAAGTATCGTTAGAAAAATCAACAACTGGAAACAATGCCGATCCACCGCAATCAATGATGATGAATCAACCAATCATACCGGCTGAAGAACCAGAATCAATAAAAAGATGGCGTGAACAACATGTCAAAAATCTTGAACTTAAAGATCAAGAAGAGAAGGAAAAAATTGAAGAACTTAGAAAACAGGCTAAAAAAGAATTAGAAGAATGGTATAAAAGATATCATGAAGAAGTGGAAAAAACTAAAAAACAGAATAGGTATGTTCTATTTTTTTGTCATAGATATTCATTCTTGAAACAAATAATGTTTTCCACTAACTTTGTTATTTGTTTATAAATTGATGATAATTTCCAACTAAAAAAATCAAACAAAATCTTTTTCTTCTATTTCATCCATTTTCTTCTCATTCTATTTCGATTAATCCAAACATAAAAAACTGATTTCCATCATTATTGGGGTTATTTTTTCATTTTTCTACTATCAAACACAACTTTAAACTAACTTTTTTTTGTAAACAAAAACTAAAATGATTATTATTCTAGAGAAAATAGCAAGTAAGTTTAATTGCTAAATTTTTTTAATGTCGAAAATTTTGCTTGCACATCTATTATTTGTCCATTTTCCTTTATGATTTCTATTTATTTTTATTCCTTATTTTGTATTTGCATGAGCTTTTTTACCTGAAAAGTTTGAATTTTAATTAACTAATGAATTCTATTTTTTTATTGTGTGTGTGTGGCATTTGCAAAAATTTTAGAGCTGCCGAAAAAGAATGGATAGCTGAACGTGACAATGAACAACCGGCTAGCAATGGTCAAGCATGGGAAAAGATTAATCGAATGTGTGATTTTAATCCTAAAACATCACGAAATACACGTGATACATCGCGTATGCGTTCAATATTGTTACAGCTAAAACAGAATCCACCGGCATCTTCATCATCGATGAGTGGTCTTCTAGGTGGTCAAAGTGCATCATAATTAATAGAAATAAGAGAAAAAACCCTGTATTGTGTCTATATATTGTCATTAGAACAATCCCGGCTATTTATAATAAGAATCGTTTTCCAACTTTGAAGCAATTTTTTCCAGAAAAAAGGTGGACATCTATATTTTCATTTTGTCATCGAATTTTTCAAAAATTACATTTAAAAAAATAAACTACATTAAACATTACCATAAATTTTTTTAATGAAAAAGATTTCTTTTTAAAAAATTCAATCAGAAAATAAAACGATGACACACTAATATTAAATGAATAATAAATGCGATAATTTACGATCGGATTCTAAGTCTAGATTCCAAAAATAAAATGTTTTATAACAAAAGAAACTTCATCATTATAGCCTTTACAATTTATAATGACAATTGTCTTTTTAATATTTAAAATTTCAAATGAATTTTGTCTTTTTTTTAAATTTTACGTACTTTATGATCATATTTATTATGTTATTTAGATAATTCGAATCATTATCAAACAAAATAACGATGATGATGATTAGGTTGTTGCGATACGGCAGATGTGTACATATATCACAGTTTAATGATTATCACAAAAAAACGAACACTTATCATCAACTATTCATAATACTATACTACTACCCTTCATTTAAATTCCTTTCCACCCCCTGAATAAATATCAATTCTTAGTTATGGTCACAATTATTACGTTTTCCTATCTCAAATATCCGATAAAAATTGAACGATTCTTGAACAAAATACCCACGTTTTCAGGTAGTGGCTGGATAAAATAGTACAATTTTTTTTCTTAGTATAGTCAGAATATATTGTGACCATAACATATCAAAAATATATAGTTATTCATGAAGGTATCAGTGTTGTTTTTTCCTTTCAATCTTTTTTTTGCATACAAATGCCGTATGTGTCGCTGCTTTTTTTGCGTTGACACGGTGTGTGTCTGTGTGTTTCGCTTCTTTATCTTTTCTGCTGCTTTGCCAATTGATTGCGTGTGAATTATAACTCGATCCCCTTAATAATAATTTTTTTTCTTGAACAACAATTGAAGACGAAACGAAACGAAGAAGAAAAAATCCAGCACCATCGATATCCAGAAAAAAAATTCGCGTATACACGCTCAAACTGTGTGTGCGTGTATTATTGGTGTGATGGTATGGCATTTTCGTTGTGTGTGTGTGTGTCGGCCAATTCAATAATCATCATCATCGACGAGATCTTGGAAAAAGACAACAACATATAGACATCACCAACAACGAGAAAAAAAAACATACACACTACACACACACTCAACAGAAAGAAAGACACACTAAAATTGAAGAAATTTCTTGTTGTTGTTGTTGTAATTTCATTTTATCGAAAGAAAATTTATTGTTTAAATTTTTTTTAAAAAGTTTTTCTTCTTTATGTCCACCAGAAAAAAGCAAAGAAAACAATAACCATCATCAATAATAATCATCATTTAACCAAAGTGATGTGTGTTGATTGAATGTTAAAAATCATAACAACAACAACAACGAATCGGATATCTACACACAATATTGGAATCGAACTATCTGAATTTTAAAAAAGAAAATCAATTATAACAACAATTACAATAAAAGAATTCTTTGGTTTTTTTTCATCAAAACAAAGAAGTTGACAATATTGATTATTCTGATTCCATATTGTTGATGATGGCATGATGTGTAAATACCCAAACATCATTGCCATCATGATGATGAAGATGATGAAAACAAATAAATAAATGTGTGTGTGTGTATTGTGTATGTAGACAGACATTTGTATCCAAATTGTTTAAAATCAATTTCAAATTTCATAGTTTTTTTTTTGTTCAAATCACCACCAACACCCCTCACTCATCATTGTCATTTTTTTCGTCAAGAAACCAATAATGTCATCGAATATTTTTAACAGGTAGATTATTTTTTTGAAATTTTTTAAAAATGTATACTTGGAATTTGTTTTTAATATAAAAAATGTCATAATTTTTTTCCCATCCAGATTGAACAAAATGAATGACAAAAACAATGACTATAGATCATCGTTTGAATAACATTTTTTAAAGCAAAACAATCTTGATAATTTTTTTTCATCATCACGACACTAATGACCATTTTGTACAGAATATTCTTTAAAAAAAATATTATCCAATTTTTACCCATTTTTTAGCTGTTTTTCCTGATTATGTATAGACAAACGAAAGTGAATGAATTCTTATTAAGGTTATTATTTTCAATAATATTGTTTGATGTGATGTTACCTACCTAAATATTCTTCGTTTGTTTTTTTTTGTGTTGTTGTTTTTTTTCTTGTAAAGTGTATCAAAGATCAAGCAAACTAGAAAAATTTTCATAAAAGGAAAGAAAAACCAAAAAAAAATCATCATCATATTGAATATTTGTATGAAAGTCATATTGTAATGTATTTTGTATAGTGTGTCAAAGTATAACAGAGTAGAAAAGTCAAAGTATTTTGTAAAATTTATAACAACAACAGAAAATAACAGATAACATAAAATTAATACACAAACATTAATTGAAAAGAATTTTGTAAATTTCATTTCATTCTCTTTCTCTCTCTCCTTCAACATTTTTTCTGTCAATCAAAATCAAAGAATTTTTCATGATCATCATCATCATTTCTTGTTGTTGTTGTTGTGCATTGATCAAACTAATCTGAATGAATTTTAACAATTCAAGTGAATTTATTGTCTTTCCATATTTTATTCATATTTAAGAAAAATTTGATCGATTTTTTAAAAAAAGCTAAAAAAATTATAATTATCATCTTGATTATAAATTGACATTCATCATAATTATTGTTTGCAATATATATTTTCCATTGCAACAAAATGTTAAATGGTCAAAGTGGTACGGCCACAGCATCAACTGCTGCAGCCACATCCAAACTAGTTGATTCAACATCGACAACACCAACAAAAGGTGTATCATCAGTTAATCAATCATCTTCATTATCAAATTCAAACAATGTTAATCAATCATCATCGACAACACAAGCAAATAATTCGATGGAATCATCCGCTACATCGGCATCTTTATCGTCAACAGCAACACAACCGAAAACTCAAGATGATGCTATGGTATCGTATATGTTTCAACGCCCACCAAATCCAGGTGGACAAGATCCTAATTCAGAATTTGGTCAATATGGTGGCAAATCATCGCGATGGTTTGGTACCGATGAAAGTGCGTTGATTGATGTAAGTTTCTTTTCTCATATTTCAATTTTCGTAAAACTTAATTTGATTTTGAATTTTTCTTATATAATAGAATAACGTACCAAGTGATACGCAGGAAATTGAAGGCAGTTTCAATACTTTATCGTTGGATAGTGAAGGACCATTTGCTTCTACTACAAAGAAAATCTGGGGCATTGAGGATACACCATCTTCAAAAAATCATGCCGATGTTGATCCATCTAAAGTATTGTTCGCCGTACCCGATCCAGTTCATCAATGGGGTCGGGATTCTACTTGGAGTACTGGACCACCTTCTGCTGGAACAACGGTAGCAGAAAATGGTTCTGGTCTATCTGAACATGCTGTTTCTCAACCAATCATGGTAAAACGTGCGGCTAGTGCTTATGCAAACGATGGAACACTATTGTCACCGCGATCAACAGATACTGGTGGTATCGGAATGAAAATGGCCGAGTATGTTCTCAATAATTCACCATCAAAAGATAATCTAGAATCAAGACTTAATACACGAATATTACATGATAAACAAACTGGTGGTCAATCGTCAAGAGGTAAAAGTAATGATAAAGGACCTCATCATCATCCTAATGCTAATGGTGGCCTTCCTAATGGCTTTGGTAGTGGAAATGGTCCTGATGACCCCACAAATTCGATTGATCCTGCTGCAAAAATTTTTAATCGGGCTCCAGGCCTATCGCATCAACTTTCTTCCGATGATAGTGATGAACTTGTTAGTGGTGTACCGAAAAATCATTTAATGAATAAATTCGATGGAATGATGGCAACGGCTGCTGCTGTAGGGGGAATGCCTGGACATCACCATCCAGCGAATGCAGCAGCTTTTGCTGATTTCAATCCCGATCAATTGCAAATGCATGGAATGGATCAACTGCAACAATTTTCTGATTACATGCCATTATCATTGGGTCCATCAGCTACAGCAGATTCGTTGATGGATGGCTATGGGCATACTAATCCAGCATTATATCAACAAGTTCAACATCAAACTCGTCATGCTTCCGGCCCCAATAATCCATCAGCGATGTCGATTTTGTCTAATCATCATCAACAACAACAGCAACAACATTTAAATATGACAACTGCTCAACAACAAAATCAAGCAATGTCTTCGGCTTCCGGTGGTCAACCATCAGCCAATATGTTTGCAGCTGCCACACAAAATCCGCAAAATCCATATTTTCCAGCAGATACATTTTCAATGAGCCAAATGGCGTTGGCAGCTGGAGCCGCTGGGCCAGCAATGTCTATGTCTCAATATGCCACAGCTGCTTATGGTTTCGCTCCATGGAACATGTTTCCTACTGGTTTAATGCCTAATGCACCACCAGGAACCACTTCTAATGGACAAATGCAAGGTCAATCATCGTCTGGTCAAACGGTAACATCATCAGGAATTCAACAGCAACAATCAGGCCGATCAATTTCTGGAACTGGTAATCGCCCATTATCTCCAACAAGTCTTGCAGTTGCTGCTGCCGCTGCTCATCAACAACAACAACAACAGAATCAAGCAAATGATGGAACCAATGGTACCAATGCACAGCAACAACAACAATTAGCTGCGCTTGCTGCTGCTGGTCAATTACCATTTCCATTTCCTGGGGCTCCTTCAAATTTTTTCGATCAATTAGCCTCAAGTCGAATGCCACCACAGGCTGCAGCCCATCTTCATCGACTAATGACACAACCACAGATGAACATGTTACAAACAGCTACTGGAAATGGTAATATGTTAGCAGCTGCAGCCGCTGCTCGAATGTTACCGAATGCTGCAGTATCAGTGGCAAATCCACAACAGAATCCACAATCGCAAAATAATGCCTTATTTGCGGCTGCATCAACGACTGGTCCAAATGGCAATCAACAACAGCAACAAATGTACACATCGGCTATGCCAAATAATTCAGTAGCATTGGGTTTAGCTGCTGCAGCCGCCGCATATAATAATATCCAATCAAATCCACAAATGATGAACAATGCCCACAACAATAATCAAGCTGCTCCTCAATTAGCTCCGCAACAAATGGGTTTCTCCAATCCCAGTATGTCTATTCGAAACTCTTTTCTCCTATTATATTAATATTATTTAATCCGAATTAGCTTTGGGTCCTATTGGAGCCTCAGGCATAGGTAATAATGGACTTGGCAATTCAAGTTCACCGCGTCGCGATTCATTAGATAATCGCTCATCGAATGCCGCTGGAATGGGTTCTTTGGGAAATATTTTTCCTACAATGATTTCCGAAGCTAGTATGGCTTTTAATCGACAAATGGCTAATGCATTGAATGCCGTTGCTGCTGGTCCAGCTTCGGCGGCCAAAGCAAACGGCTTGAACAATGCTCCATTTCATCATCCATACATTAATTCACCTGGACCAATGGGCCTAGGATTACCACCACCTGGAAGTAATATGACACCACCACCAATGGATGCTGTCAATCAATTTGGACCTAATGCAATGACAGGCACTGCACCTAATTCCGCCTATATGAATGGAATGCGTTTGATACCAAATGTAGGACCGCCACCACCACCCGATAACAAATTCTTGAATCGTAATGGATTGATTAACCAGCAAAATCCATTTGCTTCGGCCAATTTGAACAATTCATTTAATAATGTTGCAGCAGCTGCAGCGGTCGCGGCTCATTCTTCACATCATGCTCTGGCAGCATCATTGAATTCATCGAATCATTTGCATCATTTTAGCAATGGTGGTGGTCTTCATCAGCCGACACCGGTTAATCATCATCCTTCGCAAGCAAATAATTATATTTTAAACAATACAGGGGCAAGTCATCGTTCCACAGGTGGTGCTAGTGGAGCCAACAATCAACGAACGTAAGTTCATAATGTATGATCAAAATGCTTATTATTTATCACTATTCATATAATTAGACGATCTATCGATAAGAATGTTGGGCGTTCGACATTGCTGGAAGATTTTCGAAATTCACGCTTACCTAATTTAACATTACATGATCTTACTGAGCATATTGTTGAATTCTCTCAGGATCAACATGGATCTCGATTCATTCAGCAAAAATTGGAAAGGGCTTCCGATGACGAGAAACAATTGGTGTTTAATGAGATAATTGGCCAAGCTTATCAACTAATGACCGATGTGTTTGGAAATTATGTTATACAGAAATTTTTTGAATTTGGTACACCACAACAGAAACAAGCATTGGCTCAAACCATCCGTGGATCAGTGTTGGATTTAGCTTTACAAATGTATGGCTGTCGCGTTATACAAAAAGCATTGGAATCGATATCAACTGAACAACAGAAAGAGATTGTAAAAGAATTAGATGGTCATGTTCTCAAATGTGTTAAAGATCAAAATGGCAATCATGTTGTGCAAAAATGTATCGAATGTATTGAGCCATCGGCATTGCAATTTATCATCAATGCTTTTCAAAGCCAGGTATTCTGATCTATGATTATCATTCATTCCTAAATATATTTATTTATTATCAAACCAGGTTCACGCATTATCAACACATCCATATGGATGTCGTGTTATTCAACGTATTTTGGAACATTGTAATCCTGAACAAACGGCAAGCATTTTGCAAGAATTACATACACACACTGAAGCATTGGTACAAGATCAATATGGTAATTATGTTGTACAACATGTACTTGAACATGGTCGACCTGAAGATAAAACTAAAATCATTATGATGGTACGTGGTAAGGTTCTGGCGTTGTCGCAACATAAATTTGCAAGGTAAACACATTTGAAATTGTGTGGTATCTTCAGTCTAAACTCATGTTTTTTTTGTTATAAACAGCAATGTAGTAGAAAGATGTATCACGCAAGCCATGCGTTCTGAACGTTCGATGCTAATCGAAGAAGTTTGTAATTATCCTGATAAGTAAGTGTATTTTTCTTAAAAATTTGAATCGATTCTAAATTTTTGATATTTTGCACAGTGCTCTATATACTATGATGAAAGATCAATATGCTAATTATGTTGTACAAAAAATGATCGAAGTAGCTGAATCACAGCAACGGAAAACATTATTATTGCGAATACGGCCTCATGTTTCATCGTTACGTCGATTTACCTATGGTAAACATATTTTGGCTAAATTGGATAAATATATGAACACTGGCTCGAAATCAGCTAATGCTGCAGTGTCTGCTGCCGTAACAACATCACCATCATCGTCATCATCGACGACAACTACAGCTGCTGTTTCAGCACCATTGACCGATAATGCAGCAGCATCATCATCATCGACAGTTACTGGTACATCAACAACCGGTACAAATTCCAATACGAATGGCTGTAATAATGAGCCAGTCGATAAGTAAGTTCTTCTCATAAATAAGATTGTGTGCATGGTCACCAAAAAAAAGAAGAAAAAAATTTTATTTTTATCATTTTCACAAAATAATAACCAATCATTGAATCAAAAAAAACATCACACACATTCTCATTAACAATTTAAAAAAATTTCATAGTTTAGATTTTTTTCACTTTGTTTCCAACCACATTCATACAAAACAAAAAATAATTTTCATTGAATTTTGATGGTTTTGTTTCGATATCTTATACAAGAAACATTAGAAAAGTCCTAAATCAATATTTCAACGAGAGAGATAGAGAATGAGTAACGGGAGAAGAGAATCAGGAAATCTTTGGATTTTGGATTATAAATATTTTTTTAAATTCATTTTTTTCCTGTACAAAATTTTTTTTTCAGTCATTATTTTTTTTTGTTTGCTGTACAAAATTTTATCCGTGATTTCTTTATTTTTCTGATCTTATGATGATAATGTTGATGATCTCCCAAGTTCATTAGTCAAGAAAATTGAAATCAATAATCGATTTGAATGACAGAATTTAGGTATAAATTTTTTGCTTATTTGTCTATATTGTTTTTTTTGTTTGTTGACATCCAAAAAAATGTTTCAAAAGATCCAACGATAATGATGATGAATAATAATATGGTGTATAGTGTGATATATTTAAATTATAAATTGTGAAAAACCAAACAAAAACACAGAAAACAAATTTTGAAAAATTCAAATTTAAATCCAAAGTGCCCAAATTGTTTGATTTTGTCTCTCTGTATGTTAAAGTGGGCTTGTGTGTAAAATGTAAAATTTTTTTTTTTTTGTTTAATTTTCTCGACCATTTTTTGCCTTCCTTTTCTCCATCTCTTTGTTGCTCTTTCACTATCTCTTTCTCTCACATTCTCGTGATGATGGACACGTGTTGCATGATATGCCGGAAAAGAATTAGTTCAATGAAAAACATTCATGAATACATTCAATCCCTATATAAACCTATAAATATCAGACACAAACAAACACATGAAATTGTTATTGAAATTATTTTTTTGAAAAGGAATCAAAACAAAACAAAATATTCTTTGATTTTTTTCTTTTCTTTTTTTTTGTTCCATCAATTCTCTTCATCGATCAATTAATCATCATTAAAATCAATATTAAAACAAAACACAAAAAACGATAAAAATTTCATAGATGAACAGCAGTAAAAACACCCCCCAAATATTCAAATATTTTAAACCTGATCATTGATTGATTTAAATATCTCGTAAATATGTGTGTAATTTTTTTTCTTATTTTTTTTTTTTTTTTTTTGGTTTTTTTGAAATGTACAATTTTTTTTTTTTTTTTTTTTTTTATAAATTTTAAAATTCAAAAAATATTTGT